ACATGGCGCGCAGACCTCTCCTGCCACCCGCTGCTCCCCTCAGCAGTGTACTTCGGTCCTTCTGCCTGCTCTGCTCCCCGCTCTGGCTCTGGTGAATTCTCTCGCCCTCCCGCGCTTCTGACTGTACCCAGTGCATGTATAAACAAAACAGACAAAGAAACCAGCAAACAAATAAATAAAGCATGCCTCTATAAAAAAAAAAAATAAATAAAAAATAAAAGTTTAAAAAAAAAAAGAATATGTGGTACATATACACCATGGAATATTACTCAGCATTCAAAAAAGATAAACACATGCAATTTGCAGCAACATGGATGGAGCTGGAAGGGATCATACTCAGCGAAATAAGCCACAAAGAAAAAGAAAAATACCGGATGGTCTCACTCATAGCAGGAATCTAGAAAACTTAAATAACGGACCAGGAAAAAGAATAACTATAAGAAAGAAAATATCAAAATCAACAAACAACTACGAACCAGAGACACTCTATGGCGGGTGGGGGGTGGGGAAAGGAGGGCTTGGGGTCAAAATAATGGGGTTGTAATTGTATGGAGAATATAAAAAATAAAATTTAAATTAAAAAAAGTTAAAAAAAAAGTCCTCCCTTTGTTGAGGAGGGATGATAATACCTACTTTGGCTGTTAAGACAATCATTAGATAATGGCAGGGAAGACACAATTACTAACATTAAGTGAGGAGATAACTACAATCACACTAACATTAATATATATGAACATATGTATACCAACAGCATACATAACACCAATATTAGTGGTGGAGAAAAGGATAAATGGCTTATAAATTTAAGTTACCTTCTGTTCTGCTCAAGGAAGGAATTTTTTTTTGTCATTGAGAGAAGATGCTTCTTAAAAAAGAAACTAGATTTATTTCACTGAGCATAATTCCTTCTAGTTCCATCCATGTTGCTGTGAATGGCATGAGTTATCTTTTTTGATTGCTGAATAATATTCCATTGCCACATCTTCTTGATCCAGTCATCTAATTTTGCGCATGTGAGTTGTTTCCAGGTTTTACCTATTGTAAATAGTGAGGCAATAAACATAGGTTTACAGGTGTTCTTTTGAATCAATAGCAGGAATATAGGGGAACCAAATAAGACATCAGTGTGAAAAAATAATAACAGTACAAAAACACAACAAAGCAAAACCGGACAATTATAAATCAGAGACATACTACAGGGGAGGAGGAGGGAGAGGGATCAGAGGGAGGGAAGGAGGAGCACAGGGGACTGAGGTGATGGTGCCCGGGTGCACTGGGGAAGGAAACTATGGGGACTACACCTGAGGAGGTGGGGAGAAGCAAATATTGTTTAAAAATGATCAGTGATGTAAAAAATAAAAAAAAATAATAGAAAAAAGAAATAGAAAAAAATAAAATAAATAAAATAAAAAGGTTAAAAAAAAAAAACTAGAGGAAAACTAATCCTTCTGTTATAGGACAGGGAGAGGGGCAGCCCAAACCCCGCAAACCTGCCTGTTCTACATGGGTTCTGCCATCCGCCGCATCAACACAAAACATAGGAGACTTTAATGGGAAGGAACTTTAATAAAACTAGGAAACAATACAGGTAAGGCAAAGAGTCTAGTTTCTAAATGAAGCATCCAGAGTTACCCGTCCCCTCGTGGGTAAAACTCCATCCATATGGGATCGGCCCAGAACAAGGCCCCAAAGCCTGCCACAAGTCTAAAGCATCTTCCAGTGGGGACCCACAGAAAAGGGTCACAAACAACCGGACAAGCCCAGAAGGAAAAGAGCAAAATCAACATCAAGATAAAAGCTGCCATTGTCACCTCCCCACGGGTCTCACCCACATCTGTGTCACCCAGTCCACGACCAAAAGACAAGCACAGTTTCTTTACGTGTCTCTAGGCTCCATGCGCCTCCTCCAGGTCTCCTTCTGGCTCCATCCTGCTTCCTTCCTTCCTCAGTCTCTTCTGCAGCTTCTTCTCTCCCTGCTCAGCTCCACCCTTCCTTGGGTGGGGCAGGGAACCTCCCCCTTTCCTGGGGACCACCCTGTTGCAATCCCCCCTTTTAATTTTTATTCCACCATATCTATGGTGGCACAATCTCAGGGTGTAGTCTTAGGAGACAGTCTTTTTTAGGGTTACAATGTGTGTAAGAGAAGCAACAATTAGTCAGCAGCATTGTCTATGAATGTCCAGTATGACAGTTTTCCATTCTGAAAAATAGTCCATTATACAAGCCGAAAGAAAAAAAAATTGGAGCGTTAGCTAAAACAAGACAGCAAATATATCAAAATCACAGGGAAAAAATGTTAAAATGGTTCAACTTATGCAAAAACGAATTCTCTCAACCTTGATCCCAAACTTTAACAGCATAGCAAAAGTTTGCAAACTAAATCTACTTTTAAACCATTTTTCCTATTTTTGCATAAAATCACAGGGCAGAAAATAACTAACAGCAATTTTTAGCTGGCTTTGTTGAAATACTCCACACAGGATCAGAGCGAACTGGTGGCATGCAGTCGATGTATGCTTCAGGTATAAAGTTGGTCTCATCAGACTCCACCTGGGCTTTCCTCTTCTCGAGGGTACCAGGGCATTTTCGTTGGCCGGGTTTTCCAGTCCTGCCAATGGAGGCAAGCTTCCTCACCTTCTTTGGAGGTCTCTGGAACCCTACAAACAAGGCAAACAGGTTCTCCTCTTCTTGGTTCAGCTCTTTTTCAACTTTTTGGAAGAACTCCACACAAAGCCACACAATCAAACTCACGTCCAATTTTTTTGTTAAAACAGACAAAATCCCTATGGAAGTTATGCAAAAACAGACTCTAAGATAAGTAGCAAAAATTACTACCACTATTTGTATGCTGTGTTGGTATCAAGGGGAGAGAAAATGTGACAAGTTAGTTTTGCTGGAAAAAAATTACAACCTTTCTGCAGATCCTGGTTACTCAAAACAAAACAAAACAAAACAAAACAAAAACTTCGTGGATTCAGGACAGAATGCATAAAAAAATTTCCAGTATGTCAAAGAAACCTTAGTAAATGTCAGGTGTATTTCCAGGTCTATTCAGTCCTTTGTAGGAAAGTTTTTTCCTCTCAACAGTTCCATCAATAGGAATCTGTTGAGACCTTTTCTCCCTATATTTCCGGAAACAATTTCTGTAGGTGTGAAACAATTGAATTATACAATATTACTAGGTGACAATCACCATTGACAATTTACATACATACCAGATACTACTGTTAACATTTTGTACATACCAAAGTTTTACCATTTTCCCAAGTGACAATGCTTCCCTTCCAGTTTTACTTCATTAGGTAAAATCCAAATAGAACAAATTCATCTAATGCCTTCCCAGGAGGAAAGGGAGAAACTTCGTGGAGTGTCTCAGGAGCTCTACTGAGGTTCCACAAAATTTCCTTGCATCAGTCAAATGACAGGCTACCAAATTTGTACTTGAATTTAGATTTCTGGGAAGATTTGCCATAAATATCAGAAAATTAACAGAAACAACAATATTCAATCTCTGTGAAGGCACCGGCTTAGTTCAGTAGCACAACGTTGACAATCAAACCATAACTTTTTTGTTTTTATCATAACTGGAGACTTTTTTTTTTTCTTTTGAACGTCTATGGGCACCATGTATATCAATTCGTCGATCACTGGAGGTCAAGACAGTTAGACACAAGGACATACAGACATACAACGTATAGACAAAAACATTTTTTTTTTTTTAGTTATGCCACGTAGAATGTTATGTAACTTAAGTTTTACTCCGTAGGCTCAGAAAAAAAAAGTCAAAGTCCAAATTTGTGTTTTTACATCAGTTGAACCATTTTAAGATTTTTTCCTGAAATTTTTACATATCTGCTGTCTTGTTTTGGCTAACGCCTCCAGATTTTTTTTGGCTTAAACTGATGAACTATTTTTCCTGGAGTGGAGGACTTTTGCTTTCCACAATGGACAAATACCTGGAGAGACTGGTTTTCTTTCACACTGGAACCTGACAAAATGTTCATCTGAGACTGCATCCCAACCTCCATATATTCGATCTTCATCACCATGGAAATGGTGGCAAAAAGTGAAAGGGGGGAATTGTTAGGGGAAAAAGGCTGTCCCAAAGCTAATTCCATACAGGCTTTGTGGACTCCACCCCCACCCCAGTGTTAGGGGGAAAAGGCTGCCCCAAAGCAAATTCCATACAGGCTTTGTGGACTCCACCCCCACCCCGGGCCAAAGCCAAAGACACTGGGAACTCTACATCCCATCACCACCCAAGGGAAGGTGGCTGGGACCTGAGGGTGGGGTTAAGCAGCCAGGTGGATACAAAAGGCAGACATGTGGGCTTTGGGGCTCTCTCCATTTTGGGGCCCTCGGCCAGCTCGCGGCGTCCGTCTAGCTCTGAGAGTGACTTTGGGTTTCCAGGTCGTCGTATCGGGTAGGACGCATTAAAGACTTTATTTCCCTATTTTCTCCCTGAGTTGTACATTTTCCTTATTTCTTTTTCTCTTGTAAATAAACCTTTTATTAACCCTTTTGCGTGTGTCTGTAGTAGAGTATTCATAAGTCCCTTTAAAGCGCGCGGGTGAGGACCCACAGCCAGGAACCCGTTTAATATCGGGGTTGCTCTATAACACTTCCTCTGGTCCATTCAAATGAATGGCTCAGCTTCCAGTCACCAAACGAGGATTAGGGCAGCGGATACTTCCGCTTCCTCTGCCACCCTAATTGCAGCCAGGCTGGAATTTTCACTGCGCGTGCGCAAGGCCCGCCCCACCCCGGAACTTAACCGTTGACGAAAACGACATGTTTAAATCCTCCGGATCTTGGCGCTGCAGCGCCGCTGAAGGCCTCAATTCTCCAAGAAGACTAGGGATTGGGCGAGCGCGAGACCGATGCGGAGCTCTGATTGGCTGGCGCAGCAGCCTGTCGCGGCGCTCGTACGTGACGCCTCCAGCACCGCCCCTGCTCCCTGACGGGTGGGGTTTCTGGCCAGTCAGCGGGCGCGGCGCGGGCTTCGGTTTCCCTAGCCGGGGTTTGCCGCCGCGGTTCCCGCGACCCCAACGTCCCAGAGGCGGGGCAGAGTCGGCGGAGGCGCTCCTTGGAGCCGACCTCTGTTCCGGCCCAACAAACAGACCCTGGATCGGCGAAGGTTGCGGTGAGCGGGGCTTTGTGCTTGCGATTCCCTCGAGGGGTAACCCCGGGACTCGGGGTGGGGTGGGGGTGGGGAGGATGAGCAATAATCTGGGCCCGGCGCCGGGTTCCCTCCAGGAGCTTGGGGCCCGTGACCTGATAGGGAACTAGTGGGGGAAATCAGTTAGGCGGAGCACGGATTCCTTGACACTGTTGGGAGGTGTGTTCTCTGTAGTCGATAACGTGCCTTTGGAAGTTGTTTTTATTGTGATGATTTCTTGAAAACTGAAGCCCATTATGTTCCTTCTTGCATTTCTCACGTTATCTTGATCTGGAGGAGCTACATAGTCAGGGATCAGTTAATGTTTGGAATTCGTGGTCTGCTGGAAGTAATGTGTAGACGTTATGCTGTGTGTGTGAACACTGGCGGGAGGCACCTCACCAAGGGATGTAGGAGGTGGTTTCACGAAGGAAGCGAGTTCCAAGTAAAGGAGACAGCCTGTGCGGAGATACCAAACTCGGCGAGCTGCAAGTGTGTCGTTCAGTTTGGTTGGGATTTAGGATGAGTGGCTAAGGCAGCAGGTTGGAGTCAGGGTGTGGGGCCAGAGTGTGAAGGCCCTTTATTCTGTATATAAAGATGAGCCATCAGCTTTATAAACAAGAGAATGCTTTGATTCATGTGTAACTACCCTTCTAGCACATTTGTAGGGACTTTTGGGAAATCTGATCTGAGTTGAAATCAGAAACTAAGGTAGTGGAGTTGGAAAGACAATTTATATGTTGGAAGAGGGAAAAAAAGGAGACCTAAGGATGATTTGATGGTTTCCATGAGATAAGAATGCCATTATCAGGGAGAATGTGTTTTGCTAGGTGTAGGTATTATGTGGTTTTAGTTTCACTAATTGCTTTTGTGAGACTGTCAGAATAAACTGTAGCGTGTGTAGTGTTTTAAAACAAGAAATGCATCAGCATTATCTTTTTACCCTAACACATAAAGGAAGAAGAGGCAAACATGGCATTTAAAGGCTCTTTAGTGAAGAAAATATGGCACTTTATATATTTCAAGAGTTGCAAGTTTAATCTGTATGTTGTTATCCATGATAATTAAGTGGCACAGGACTTTAGATTCAAAAACTGCATTCCAGTAGAAGCTGCAGGGAGCTCAGATATTTCCAAGGGTGACTTTTTAGTCAACTTCACAAAGGCACTTTCTGTAGAATTTTGTTGTAAATATTTTTAGTCTATCTAAAAGAATCTTTCCTTTTTTTTTTTTTTAAGATTTATTTTTATTTATTTATACAAGCACTGGGTACAGTCAGAAGCGCGGGAGGGTGAGAGAATTCACCAGAGCCAGAGCAGGGAGCAGAGCAGGCAAAAGGGCCGAAGTACACTGCTGAGGGGAGCAGCGGGCGGCAGGAGGGGTCTGTGCGCCATGTGGGACCCTCTTCCGGTGGCCGGGGAGCAGCCGGGGATCGAGCCGACGCCGCCGAGGCCGCGGGCAGCTTCGCAACCCAGCGCTCAACCCCTGCGCCACCGGGGAGGCCCTAAAAGAATCTTTTCTAAATGACTTCTGCAACTGCACTCATACTGCCTTTCTTGCTTCAGATTGTTCCTTTTTGCTAAAATGAAAGAATGTGTAGGGCCTTAAGGCACTCTCACAACTTAATAAAAGAATATAGGAAACATTGAATTTTAAGAAAGGATTATGAGGCTTGTATTTTGCTTTGATAATATTTAGATGGAAATACCCAATGGGCAATCAGAAATAAAGGTTTGTAGCTCAGAAGAGAGGTGGAAGCTGAAAGTTGACTCTGGATGAGTGTGGAAGCAATGGGAGTAGAGGAACCTATTCAGAGAGAGCAGGTGTTAATGTTAAAAAGTATATTGTTGATTTTGCACTGATACAAGTTAATTTGTGGGGATGCAGTATTTGACTTCCATCTTCACACAATTTAAGACATTGACTTTATTATAACCCCGTAACTGTCCCAAATTGTTCTTATCTGATGCTTTGTGATTTTCTGGATATTGTGAGTTTTTTTTTTTTTTTTTTGAAAAGACCATTCATAAAACTTTTATTAACTTATGTGAACTTAATACACATGTTCTTAACAATTATGCATCAGTTGTTTACGAAAATTTCATAAGATATTAAACAAAGCTAGCCATCATCTCAAGTTATTTCCCCCTTATTTTTACAGCACATGCATTATTGTGAGATTTTTGATTAAAATATCATGTTAAATTCTTCCTGCTTTACCTAGTTCACTAAGTTGAGATAAAGATGGTAGGATAGAATCTATGCTTTCTTTAATAAATAGAAGTAATAATGGTAGGTTTTTGCTAGGTTTAACATTAATTTATAGGCAGAATGACTATAAAATATGAAAATGATCACAATCACAATAAGATTTTATCTTATTAGTCTATAGATGATGACATTTTATATAAGTAACCTAATTTTGCATGTAATTTTGTGAATATGTGGTAATGATTGATTTTTTTTGTTTTTATCACTCATTAATAATCTCTTTACTCTAGGATACTGAGCATTTGAAATTGAATAAATCATTACAAAGAATTATGGAGACTCTTGCAGGATCGCAGATGAATATCAGGTATAGAAATATTTTTATACATTTTTTTCCCCTACCTGTTCACGTAACTTGTAAAGTAGGTTGGAATCAAATAAAAATAATAATCTTTAGAATCAGGAAATTCTGGGTCCATATCCCAGCTCTACCACTTGTTAGTGGGTGACCTTAATCAAGCTGTTTAACTTCTCTAAGCCTTGGTTTCCTATAAATTTGGTTTAATAATTTCTGTCTAACAGATTATTATGAAGGGTTAAATATGATTGCTCAGTAAATACTAGTTCCCACCTTCCCTTATTTTAGTTTTACAGAGGATCCTATTATTGATGGGAAATAGTATCTTACCTCATGATGCTAAAAATCACATTTATTTATTTCCCAAGACTAGTGGGAAAGTGGTTCTAAATCCTTATTCCTTAATGGAAAAAAATTTGCATTGGATATACCAAATTTTCTTAAATTTCCTTAAGCTTTTTTCTTACTTAGGTAGACTAGGAAGGAGGAGTTTAACACCTGTCTCCTAATTTTCTCAATCTGTCATTACTATGGGGACCAAATAAATTGGCTTGTGTTATTTGGCTCTTTGGCTCATTTATTGTTCTTTCATTCCCCTGGGGGAGAACAATTAATATGGATGTGAATTTTCTTTCTCCTAAACTAGAATTGCACACAAGTCACCTTTCTTCTTATCTGTATTATTTTTCTTTTTGCCAGATGTTCTTAATGAAGACAATGGGAAACATGACCTGAAGAGGGTATCATGTTCCTTTCGTTCAGCTTTGGTCCTTCTGTTCTTTCCTACAGCCAATTCTTAATCTTTGAAAATTTATCAGCTTCTGGTCTTTAAAAATCTTGTTGCATCTGTGCAAGTATAGAGAGATTAACCAACCCAAATAGAGTTGGTAAGTGGTATAGCCAGGATTTAACCTGACTTGACTTCTATTCTATATGATACTATAAGGAAGTAAACCTAAAGTTGTATAGATTAGGTTTTAAAGGTATGATAGATCTCTAAAAGCAAAAAAAAAAAAAAAAAAAAAACATTGAGCACTTACAATAAACTGGGAATTTTGTAAGCATTTTACATATATTTATGCATTTAATATTCAATACAACTCTACCAGGAGATACTGATATTACCCTGTTTAACAGATGAGGAAACTGAGGCACAGAGACATTAAAGAATTTGATTAAGGTCACATAGCTAGTAAATTTTTTTTTTAAAGCTTAATTTATTTATGCATACAAGAGCTGGGGTACAGGCCAGAGATGGGGGAGGGTGAGAGGATTCACCAGAGACAGAGTGAGGAACAGAACAGGCAAGACTGACTGGAACACACTTCTGAGGGGAGCAGCCGGCGAGACAGGAGAGGTCTGCTTCACCATATGAATTGCTCCATGGCCAGCCAGGGATCGAACTCATGCTGCAGAGGCTGCGGATTGCTTCGTAGTGCTGTGTTTAACCCCTTGCGCCACCAGGGAGGCTCCACTAGTAAATTCTGAAGCCAGGTTTCACCTAAGCATTTGATTTCTAGACTTCTTGTTTTTAGCCCTTACATTATACTGTCGCTCAGAGTTGGTAAATGATAGATGTATTTGATATAGAGACAGATAAGCTGATAGTTTGTCCATTACTATCTTTGTGATCTTGAATAAATTTCTAAAACACTATATCCTTTTTCCCCAAAATGGGAGATTAAAAATCCTTATTATTGGATTAATTTAGATAAGGATTTGAAAGCACAAAGCTTGGAATTGGTAGAGCCAGAATTCAATCTAGGCTCTAAGCTCTTATACCACTCAGCTTCTAGAACTATAAACTTTGAAATCGGCCATAATTAATTAATTTATGCCCCCCCCCATATACTTAATTTAAGCTCAACTCTCGGCTCTGTTACTTAATTGCTATATGAAGCGAGGGAAGTTTAGTTTATTATCAGTGAAGTGGACAATAAACTTTCTGGAACAGTTTTAGTGAGAAATAATGTGTCTGTAAAATGTGTAGATAAAGTGCCCAGTACAATGCCTAGTACATAGTAAACTGTGGCTAGTATTTTAGTTGAAAAGCTTTATCAGATCATAAATGAAAGTAACATCTAGAAGAAGGTATTCTTTTTTTTTATAATACATTTTATTTTTATATTCCCCATACAATTGCAACCCCCTTATTTTGAGCCCAGTCCCTCCCCTCCCACCCCCTACCCCCCATAGAGTGTCTCTGGTTCATAGTTGTTTGTTGATTTTGATTTTCACTTTCTTATAGTTATTCATTTTCCTGGTCCCTTATTTAAGTTTTCTAGATTCCTGCTATGAGTGAGACCATCCAGTATTTTTCTTTTTCTTTCTGGCTTATTTCACTGAGCATGATCCCTTCCAGCGCCATCCATGTTGCTGCAAATTGCATGTGTTTATCTTTTTTGAATGCTGAGTAATATTCCATGGTGTATATGTACCACATCTTCTTGCCAGTCATCTATTTTTGGGCATTTGGGTTGTTTCCAAAGCTTAGCTATTGTAAATAGTGCTGCTATAAACATAGGGGTGCAGGTGTTCTTTGGAATTGATGTTTCTGTGTCCTTTGGGTAAATACCTAGGAGTGGAATTGCTGGATCATATGGAAGCTCTATGTTTAATAGGTCCAGAAATCTCCACACAGCTCTCCATAGTGGTTGGACCAGTTTGCACTCCCACCAACAGTGCAGAAAAGTTCCTTTTTCTCCACACCCTCGCCAACATTTGTTGTTGCTAGTTTTTTTAATATGTGCCATTCTCACTGGTGTAAGATGGTATCTCATGGTAGTTTTGATTTGCATTTCTGTGATTACAAGTGATATTGAACATTTTTTCGTATGCCTGTTGGCCATTTGCATTTCCTCTTCAGAGAAGTTTCTTTTTAGCTCTTCTGCCCATTTTTTGACTGGATTATTTTCTTTGTGCTGAGTCTCATCAGCTCTTTGCAGATTTTTGTGATCAGTCCTTTATCATTAGTGTTGTGTGCAAAAATGTTCTCCCAGTTGATGGGGTTTCTCTTTGTTTTTGTTATTGTCTCTTTTGCTGTGCAGAAGCTCTTTAATTTGATGTAGTCCCAGCTGTTTATCTTTGCCTTCACTATCACTGCTTGGGTGATGTATCTGTAAAGATGTCTTTGATGTGCATATCATGTAGTGTTTCGCCTATATTTCCTTCTATGTATTTTATGGTTTCAGGTCTTATGTCTAGTTCTTTAATCCATTTTGAGTTGATTTTTGTGTATAGTGTGAGGTAGTGGTCAAGCTTCATTCTTGTGCATGTAGCGACCCAGTTTTCCCAGCACCATTTATTGAACAAACTTTCTTTGCTCCAATGCATAGTCTTTGCTCCTTTGTCAAAGATTACTTGACCATAAATCTGTGGGTTTATTTCTGGATTTTCTATTCAATTCCATCGGTCTGTATGTCTGTTCTTGTTCTAATACCATGCAGTTTTGATGATTATGGCTTTGTAGTATAGTGTGAAGTCTGGGAGTGTGATGCCTCCATTCCCTTAGAAGAAGGTATTCTTAATGAATGACATGATGAAAATTCTTTCAGTTCAACCACTTAATGATCTCCAGTCATGCAAATGCACTGTTATACATAGCTTACTGTCAGAGCTTTCTTGATTTAATTACATATGATTTTAACTCATATTTTCTTCCCAGTCCTTTTTTTCCATTGCCTTTTTCTTAATGTGATTTTGTCTTTACTCATATAAAATAAGTACTTTGTGGTGGTACCCTATATGATTTAGCATTGAAACCTTGTGTTTACATAGCCAATATTATCTTTGTTGGGAATTACTTATAATAATCATGTTTGATGTTTCAATAATAAAACTTAAGTGATAGGTCCAGGACCCTAGATACCAAATTTGGAGACACTGAAAAATGAACAGTCTATTATAATAAAGTTTTTGTGCTTTTATAATTTTATTGGGTATTACCTAGCAATTAGTTCAGAAGGACTGGTTCATACTCATTTTTTTACTAGTTAAGTGGGGTTTTATAGGATTGATGCTTGATGTTCTTTTTCAAAAGCTTGTGTGTATGTAAATTTATATGTGCATACAGGGAAAGACCAAAAAACTTTTTTGAGTGCTTTTCTCCTGATAGAGTTACAAGTCATTTTCTTTCTTTTCACAATATTTTTCAGCTCTTTTAAAATTACAAAAGTAATCATAAAAAACCCCATTACTTAGTTTTTTGTTTTTTTAAATAAAATTTGTACTGCTTTTAATTTCAAACTTTTTTTTTAAGGTTTCCTACAAGCAAGATGGTACCTTTCTACTTTCCGCCATCAAAATGTGCACTTTGGAACCCTACACCGATTGGAGATTTCATCTACTTACGTCTCAATTACTACAGGTATTTCTTTTTTTCCACATCAAACCAATGTAAACAGGAGTCAAAGAATGTGTAAGCAAATCTGATTACCATGGCTATTTGAGTGGTTAAGTTTTTTTTGGCTGTTTTTTTTTTACTTATGTATTCAGATTCTGCACCTTCTTAACTCTGTTGCTCATGATTTTGAGAAACAACTTAATTTCACAGTTAAAATACTCTGCAAAGAATTATAGGAATTCAAAAGAGACAAAATATAATAAAAACTTGAAAGGACATTACTTACAGAGTATTAAGAAGATAAAACTGATATGAATAGATAGACCATATTAAAAAGAATATCAAATATTGGGCCTCCTTGGTGGCATAGGGGTTAAGTCTTAATTAAGCATTATTACCACGATGGCCTGAGTTCAATCCCTGGCCAAGGAGCTAACCCACATATGGAGAGGACAGCAGACCTCTTCTATTTTGGCCACCCTTCCCTCAGCAGTGTATTTCAGTAAATCTGCCTGTTCTACTCCCCACTCTATCTCTGGTGAATCCTCTCACCCCCTGCACCTCTGACACCTCAGTTCTTCTATGCATAAATAAATAAATCTTTAAAAAAAAAGAATATCAAATATTATGGTTATGGTCAGGGTCTTGAAAGAAAGACATAGAAGCTTAGTTTTAAAGTAATAGAAAATTGAGATCTATTGAGATTTTGTATGTAAGAAGTTGCTTATTAAAAGTAGAATTCTTCTAAGAATTCTGGATCATAGTAGGGAGAAGCTAGAGTCAGTCTAGTTATGAGTTTATTTTTGGTAATGTTAACAACACAGACTTATGCCACAGTGGTTTAAGATGCTGTAATTGGAGTCAAATTCCTGGAGGGTCCAATCCTGATTCTGCCAGTTCTTTATGTGACCTTACTGAAGAAGCCATTGTTTAGTTTCCTAATTTATAAAATGAGTATAATGAGAACTTGTTTCATAGTGCACTTACATGGATTAAATGAGACAGACTCTATAAAGTAGCAGTTGGCTCAGTGCCGACATAGGAACTATTCAATATATGGTAGTATTATAAGGATTTAAAGTAGAGTAGCAGTATTAACATTTAGAGGAAATAGTGAAATAAGGTATTTTAAAGAAACAGGTTTGTAGCATTTGATATTCTAATAAATAGAGGAACAGAAGGAAAAATAAGTCAAAAAGTATTTAAGTTTTAAAACACTTTGCATTGAAGGATGGTCTCATTGACAAAAAAGGCCTGGGATTTCAATTAAATATTTATTAGACTTACTCATTTTCCCTTCCATGTCTCTTAGCCTATCCTATACCCTGCCTTTGACCATAGGATTTCCCAAAAATGATCTTTCTATGCATTTTTTTTAAAAGATTTATTTATCTATGCATACAAGAACCAGTGTACAGACCAGAGGTGCAGGGGGTGAGAGGACTCACCAGAGACAGAGTGGGGAACAGAACAGGCAGATTGACTGAAAAACACTGCTGAGCGGAGCAGCGGGTGAGCCAGGAGACGTCTGCTGCATCATGAGGGTAGCTCCCTGGCTGGGGATCAAACCCATGCTGCAGTGGCTGCGGATTGCTTCATAGGCTGCATCCTAACCTCTTGCACCACTAGGGAGGCCTCAATACATTTTTAAAACTGTATGTTATATTTTAGGTAGCATTTTGTGGAAGGAGGGTTTTTTCATGTATCAGATCATGTTCATAAAAGACTTTTTCTTATTTTTCAGAAATCCAAAACTTGTGGTAACTGAAAAGACCATCCGACTTGCTTGTCGTCATGCTAAGCAGAATAAAAAAAATTTGCCATGCTTTTTACTTGGTTCTCTCACAATAGATGAAGGTAACATACTTAAAAACATGTATTTATATGATTATAATAGACATATTTATTGATTTTTGACTATAGTAGCGTTTATGTATACTAGTGAGGATTATTATAATTGTTGCTGATTTTCTTTGCTGTATACCAAGGTTGTGAAGATGAATAAAACTTGACACTACCCATCACAGACTTCACAATCTGGTCAGATGGAAGAATATATATGCAAGTCATTTTTTAAAATAAGAGTTTAGTGTGCCATTAGTATGAATGACTTGCTTTGCTATAATGTAGACTTGCTTGATTAATTTCACCTTTTTAATTGGCATGCTATATAGTAACAGCTATTTTTGTTCTTCAGATGAAGAAGGTGTGACATTGACAGTAGATCGCTTTGATCCTGGTCGAGAAGTACCTGAATGCTTACAAAGAATCCCTACTGCTTCTCTTCCTGGGGACTTCGTGATTCCATGCAAAGTTCAAACTCAGGGACTTTGTTCAAGAGAAATAATAGTTCACAATGCAGATGACTACAGTTCAACTTTTAAAGTGAGATTTGTTGATAACTTGATCTTTGTGTTTGTGTGTGTGTGGTATAATTGACATAACATATTTAGTTTTAGGTGTGATTATTCTTAATTAAGCATAAGAAACAAACATTGTATACTATGCTATATTTTAATGAACCCATACCATACATATTCATCATAATTTCTGATTGGATGTTGACTTAAAATGCAATTAAATGTGATTTGTGAGGTAAAGATTATAGGATGGGGATAGGGATAGTATTCCAGAAGAACAAACTGTGGCCAAGATAGCAACATGCAAAATGTATTCAGGGAGATGTTAAGGGTAGAATTTTGCTGGATTTGTGGGCAGTCGGACTGGAGTATTTGTTTGACTATAGAGAGAACCTTATCTTCCAGGCTAAAGAATTTAATTTTTATTGAATGGGCCTATATAGTCATTGAAAGTTTCTGAAAAGAGAAAATACTTTAACATCCAGGATAATTAATCTAATAGGACAGACTAACTATAAAGTCAGAATGAATAGTTAAGCTATTATAGTAGTCAGGTATGTATTTGAGAAGGGACATTAACATGTAAGACTAGAGAGGACACAGTGGGCATAAGCAGCTATTGAGGGAAAACTAGCTTGGCAGTTTGAGGTAACAAGAAAAGAATCAAGGAGAAATGGATTTCAGATTCTCTGAAACAAATTAACTTAATGTCCATTGTTTTCCGTGTAATATTTATTGGAAGTGATGTTACCCAGTAAGAATTTGAAATGCTGCTGGGTGGGACATTGGACATTGGAAATATGTGGTGGAACTTGATGTAATAAATCATATTTACCCTGATATAATTACACATGTAACCTTTTGGTCACATGGAAGAAATAAGAGAATTTAAATGTTGCAAATCAGAAGTCATTTATTTTTGTTAGTGTAAGATATATATGTGTTTATATACCAGTATGAAACAAAACCTTTAAAGATATGGACACATTTCAAAGTTTTAATGTAATTGCATAATACTGATTCCCAGGCTCTGCAGCACCATGTATGTAGCAAAGATTCCTTGGATTGTGGTAAACTGCTTTCCCTGAGAGCACATATCACTTACCGGGAGAATTTGGACAGTGTGGATTTTGACTTGCATTGGGCAGCAGTAACTCTGGCAAATACCTTTAAATGCACACCTGTGAAGCCCATCCCCATTATTCCAACAGCTCTGGCAAGAAACTTGAGCAGTAATTTGAATATTTCTCAAGTTCAAGGTACCTATAAATATGGGTAAGTAAAAGATCTGTTAGTCCAAAGTTTTAAATATTGGTTGCATTGGTACTTTTTCATGATGTCCATATAATATGAAATGATTGCACAGTTAGTTTACATGGAAGAGAGCTGTGGTAGTAAGATAAATAACCAAGAAAAGTGACAAATGAAGTTGTTAATTTTTGCTCAATATAATTTTCTTTGAGTTTGCCCATCCCCAAGAAAAATTTGAGTATAAATTATATTAAAATTGGTGTATTTTGTGATTTCAAAATATGAGGAGATGTCCCCTATAACATTTTACCTAGGTTTTAGGACATTGTCTTTTTTTCTTCCTCCCCAGTTTTGTTGTTTTATTTTAATTTTATTTTATATATATTTATATATATATTTTTAAGGATTTATTTATTTATGCATACAAGAGCAGGGGTACAGGCCAGAGGTGCGGGGGGTAAGAGGATTCACTAGAGACAGAGTGGGGAACAGAACAGGCAGATCGACGGAAGTACACTGCTGAGGGGAGTAGCTGGCGAGTCTGGAGAGGTCTGCTTCACCATGTGGGTTGCTCCCTGGCCGGCCGGGGATGGAACTCGTGCTGCAGAGGCTGCAGACAGTTTCACAGACTGCGTCTTAACCCTTTGCACCACCAGGGAGGCCCTGTTCCTTTTATTTTTTAAACTGTACTTTGATTATATGCCTAAAAGTGGCTGGAGAATTTACTTACAAGACTTCTAATTGTGAATAATTAGGATTCCAGATAAAGGACATAGTTAAATAAAAATTTACATACTTTGTAGTATTCTTGCTTATCAAATTGTCAGCCAGTTGAAGGTGGAGTTTCCTCGTGCAGCTAGGGCAGCATCCTCTCTAGCTTCCTATCGTCACTCTTAGTTTCTTAGGAAATATAAGCCAAATCGCACTCTCTGATCCTCAGCAGGCCTGCTTCCCTGAATATTCATTTACTTTTTTTAACCATTGTCTTCTCAGCTGTGTTAGACAATGTAGGCCAACCTTTGCTTCAAAGTCTAAGCAATTGGCTCTGGCTTCCTTTCCACTGACTCCACCCTAGTTCCTGTTAGATCTCTACAGCCAAAATGTTTGCCAAGGTACACTCAACTCCAAGTCTTGTCTTCTGAAAGTGCCTCTTCAAACAAGGATAAGAAACAGAGAAGATTTTTCTCTTCAGAGGGTCCCTGGAATAGCAGGAAAGGATTTGAGACTCAGGTGCTGACCAGACAGAATACCTTTCTGGTTGGACTAGCACAAAGGAAGAAGTGTTGGTATATTCCAGAATAATGGAGTTGAAGTAGAACATTCAGTTAATTAAGTGGAACCTTTATTTCTCTTACAGTAGTAGAGAGCTTCTTATTGGGGCATGAAAATTTGCTTGAAATTAACAAAAAATTAATTTCTTTTCCCTAGTGCTATGTTCATCTACTAATGAACCATAAATTTGCCTTTCTTTGAATTTTTCTGTGGTCCCTTGGGATGCCAGTAGTAACACAAAATAGTCTATTTTCTAGTTACCTATTCTTCTCACCCCATCCTACGTAAAATTATTTATGAAATTTGTGACATTTATCCCTTTCTTTGACCACATTCATATGTGTACCCTAGTATTTATTAGGATCCATATGGAGTAGAAACTTTTAGAAACAGGAATTTAAAAAATTTTAAAAGGTTATGTTTTCTGTTCATTAGTATGTTAACATGCAAACATCATGTAGGTGAACATAATGGGGACTTATATATTCAGGGCAAGGAAAGCAGAAAGATGTGTCCAATTCACCTGGGAAAATCACAGGAAGCCTGAGAAAATCACAGGAAAGCTGGTTCTTTTAAAGAATAGGAATTTATCAGTTGATCAAGGCAGAAGAGCTTTCAAAGCAGGTGTGTTATTGTTCCATAAATCTGCCAACTCAGGCTTAATCAGCTTGTCACATGGCCTGATAAAATCATTATCTGTGTGTTTTACTACTGTTTTTTTTTAAGATTTATTTATTTATTTATACAAGCACTGGGTACAGTCAGAAGCGCAGGAGGGTGAGAGAATTCACCAGTGCCAGAGGGGTGAACAGAACAGGCAGACCAATGAAATACACTGCTGAGGGGAGCAGCGGGCGTGGCAGGAGAGGTCTGTCACGCCATGTGGGACCCTTGCAGGCGGCCAGGGATTGAACTGGCACTGCAGAGGCTGCGGGCAGCTTTGCAGCCCAGCGCTCAACTGTTGCGCCACAGAGGAGGCCCTGTTTTACTACTATCATAGCAACAAAGTATATTCTATTTGCTAGTACTATCAAGTGTTGGTATCGCACATTATTTGTGTGTGTTTTAAAGCCACAATAATAAAATTAACTCTCAACAATCTTGCATTTATTCATGTCCTTAAAACTTACTGTCATTACTGAATCACAAAGTATGAATGTAACGTGGCCCGTTTATGGAAAAGTAGGCTTTTGGATTCTATCATGATGTCGCCAAAGTTCTTTGAGAGTGGTTGGAGGAATATAGAATATATTATGGTACATGGAAGGTTGAATATTCCTCATCTAATTGACTTTAGTATGAAGTCATATCTGTTGCAGCCTTATCAAGTCACCTGGATACTTCCGCACTTCTAGTAATAGGAAAATCACTCTTCTCAGGGAAACCTATTCTATTTGATTCTGAAATTGTCAGCCTTGATTTTAATAGTACTTTTGATAAAAATAACTTGATACTTACAGAGCAAAACTTTTTTAAAAAGGTGTGTAATCTTTAATGTCATTACAATAGTGATATAAAATCTGTTTAATCTTTTCCTCTCATTGGAGTCTTTGTATTTTGAACTATTTATGTATGTGTGTGTGTGACTGAGAAAATATCATTTAAGTCAGCTCCCCTGCCTAAAAGATGCTTCTTTAGCACTCAGGTTATCTTGCTTAGGTAAAAAGGACCTACTTTCAATTGTTTTTACATGAATGTTTTCCATTTAGATATCTTACCATGGACGAAACCCGTAAGTTGTTGCTTTTGTTGGAATCTGATCCCAAGGTTTATTCTCTGCCATTAGTGGGAATGTAAGTATTGCATTATTTACGGAAACCTTTCAGCCACAGATATGTTCAAAAGTATAAGCACGTGAATCAGCTGTACTGTGAATATATAATACTTAGATCACCTTCATAAGCCTTAAAGACAAATGAATCCTGAACTTTCTTGTCATAATAGCAGAACTTGTTAAAATGCAATTTTGTCCAATTTAAGAATGCTAATATATGAAACCAACAAAGTTGAATTTTTCTAGTTGACATCGAAACCTTAGAACCCTATTTCTTTAACCTTCCCTACTATCCTGATACCTTGAATAACCCAAGGCCCAGAATAGCTGTTTAATTTCACTGCCAGGCAATTTCGCAGAAATTCTTTTTAGTGTTAATGACTTTCTCTTTCGAGTTAATAGCTAATGACATTTAAACAAATTATTCAGTCAGAAATTTATGTTCAGTATTTACTGAGTGCTTACCATTTGCATAATATTATGTTTGGAACTGGGTTGGAATTTAAAGCTCCTCAAGGAATTTATAATCAAGGTAAGGTGATAAATTAATTAAATATTCATATACAGAAAGATAAATGGTGAGGAAGATTATGATTTATTATCAATAAGCAGTATGGATAGAGAGCACTATTAGTGTTTGTAAGGGAGACTAGGAGACATTTTGTTAGAGGAAGGCAAACTTTAGCTGGGCCTGAATAATAGGTAATAATAGAAAATGTCTGGATAATAGAAAGGAGGCTTGGTGGGGAGAAAACCCATATGGGAATAGTATGTGCAAAGTTAAAAAAAAATGAGAGTGTTCTGTAACATGGGATCTATTACAGTGTATTTGCTGTGGTCCTGGTATATGCTATGGGTTTTGATGCTAAGTGTGTATCTACTAAGATCCTTCTGTGTTTCAGGCTACCTATATATGTAACAGCATTTAATCCTCTCAGTAACTATAGTTTTAGGCTGCTAACTTCATTCTCCCCTAATTTAGCCCATTTTTCCAGGCCAGACTGACTCCAATTGATTCCTGTCTTCACCTCTACTAACCACTTTTTCTCCTACCACTTCCCATTTGTCCTTCATCTCAGATGGAAAAGGAGAGAAAGAAAGGAGAACTACCTACCTAATCATCTATTTTCCTTCTTAATAATAAGCAAGGTCAACATTCATAGATTTCTTATATATGAGGTCTGGTTTTTTTTTTTTTGTTTTTTTTTTTTTGTGGGACCCTCACTGGCAGCTGGGGAATGAACTGGCGCTGCAGAGGCTGCGGGCAGCCTCGCAGCCCAGCGCTCAACCGCTGTGCCACCAGGTGAGGCCTATATATCTATATATATAGATATATAGATATAGATATATAGATATAGATATAGAGATATAGATATATCTATATATATATATATATAGTCTTTAATGTGTTTCTGGTGAATGCCAAAAACCGTTGTCATATTATTTTGAGAATATAATCTAAAGTATATTAAGTATCAATATGTAAATGGCTATAATTTTAATTTCTACTTTTTGTTTTAGTTGGCTGTCTGGGATTATACATATCTATAGTCCTCAGGTATGGGCTTGCTGCTTGCGATATGTGTTTAGTTCTTCCATTCAGGAAAGGCAAGTGATATTTTCTTTAGTCATATGTGTGTATGTATATGTATATATGTATACAAAGTTTTTTTTTCCCACCAGACTGTCTTTTACTTGGGTTAATTATATTTTTCCTAGACATTTTTATAAAGCCAGATTAATCTGTCTTTTTTTCTATCTTGCTCAGAAAGGATTTGCCCACATTGGAAGTATTTATTGAAATAAAAAAATGTCTTGTATTAAGATGTTTTTAAAGTTCTACTTTTTACATTTTATTTCATTTTTTCAAGACAATTTTATCTTCAGTAAAAGAAATGTTTATTGTAGTGTATTAGTTCAGCTAAGTCTTATTATCCATGATTGGTCATGTTTTAAGTCCTTTTTTTTTTTTAAGATTTATTTATGCGTAGAAGAACTGAGGTGCAGGCTAGGATGCAGGGGGTGAGAGGATTCACCAGAGAATGAGTGGGAAGCAGAACAGGTGGATCTACTGAAATACACTGCTAAGGGTAGTAGCAGGCGAGACAGGAGAGGTCTGTTGCACCATGTGTAGGTTAGCTCCCTGGCTGGGGATCAAACTCAGGCCACAGCAGTGAGAACATGATAGCGCTGAGACTTAATCCCTAGGCCACCCTGTTTTAAGTTCTTATTGACAGTAATTGCGCGATAAAATTAATTTTAAAATTCTGTTAGTCTGTGTTCAGTCTGGAACATAGGCAATTTCTTTGATATTTGAACTCTTTAATTACTGCCAATCCTTTCAAAGGAGGTTTGAACCAAAGTGGAGTCAGCACCACCTAGCATAGTTTATATGGTAATATATAGCATTCTTAGTAAGTGGTGCAGAGCAAGTGGTCTGACTCCAAAAGAGGAGATGCACAGAATAAGAGTTCTTGTCTCTCCACTGTTTGGTTTTATTAGTATTCTAATACATTCCCAGATTGTTTTTCTTTCTCATTTTACAAAAAAGCAACAACTACTAAAAGTATTTTTAAATAGTTTTAGTATATGCTTAGAGAACTCTTGATGATTTTATAAAATTTGAGTCATGTAGTGATTAATAAAATTAATATTCATTTTATCAGTTTGTAATAGTCTAATATTATAAATAATTTAAATATCTACTTTAGAACTCTAGAGAATCAATAATGATAATGTTGGATGGATAGTCATTAACAAAGAATAAGGAGGTTTGAGGGATAATATGGAATAGTAACTTGGGAAAAAACCCAAGATAGTCAAATAAAAAATAGCAGCTGCAAATAGTTTGTATAGTATGGTCTCATTTTTGTTAAATTGTATAAAATATTTGTGTATGCCTGTGGTGAAATTCTGGAAGTATATACACAAACTTGAGAGTAGGATGGGGTGGTTTTCACTTTCATTTTATACAATCCTATTTTATATGAAATTTTATAGGAACTATATATTACATAAAATAAATTTTATGTCTTTTTTTTTTTTTTTTTTTGCTGTCAAGTTTTCTTCTAAACTTTGACTCTTTCATCAGTCTGTTAACAGTACTGAGAGACTCATATGGGACTGAGTATACTCCTGCTATTCTCAGAAAGTTTTAATTAAATGTGTTTTTTTCCCCCAGAGTTTTTTCAGAATCTGGAAATTTCATTGTAGTTCTCTATTCTGTGACACATAAGGATCCTGAATTTTATGAATGCCTCCATTGCAATGACAGGTTACCCAACCTTCGATTCCAGCTAATAACCAGCAAGGAAACACTACATTTTTTCAAAGTAAGTCATTTGTTTATCTAGTCCATTAGTGACCTAGTGTTCATTACCCTTTAAAATAGTAACTCAAACTATTTGGCTTTGTTTATTTATAATCAGTGTTAGTGAATATTAGCTTTATTTGCTTTAGGCTAATTTTGTTTCATAAAATTTAGACTATATCTTCAGAACTGAATTATATTACAGGATCAGATGTTACCCACAGAGTATCTTGCCCATGTTTTTCTAAAGTCTTCAAAGACTGTATCAAGAATTTACATGTATTATTTTATGATATTGAAGGTTAATTTTCATCTTGGTGGTTTCTTTACCCTGATTGTTATTTTTAAAATGTATAGGTATGCAAAATTAAAATGCATATGTTGTGCAAAAATGAAAAATGATGTAAGAATTATATAAAATACAATATATTATAAAAAATGTATAGGTATGACAAATAGCTTCTTACCTTTAAAATCAATGTCTGTAATAAAAAGTATGCAATAGCATTATGGCTATTCTGGCAATAAGAATATGTTGTTTTATATCTAAATACATATATAAAAGTACACTTAGGTGATGGTCACAGAAAAAGTAGATCATCAAAACCCTAAGTGTCATTTTATGAAAACATTCAAAGAGCTCAGTAAAATGAGTAGTTCTATGTCTCAAACCAATGATTTAAAAAATTCTTAAATACAAAACTACTGATGCCTGTTCTGCTCCCCACTCTGTCTCTGGTGAATCCTTTCACCCTCCTGTGCATCTGGACTGCACCCCAGCTCTTGTATAAAGATAAAATCTTTTTTAAAAAAAAGAATGAAAATGAAAAGTTCTCGGTATACAAAAGTAGGCACTAGAGTTCATGATGTATTAAAAAAAAAAAGAATGTTGTGATTTGATCTTCTATCTATACTACTATATTTTTCTCCATGTCAGTGTGAGACAGTTTCTCTCTCTCATCATTCGTATGTTCACTGTAGTAGTACTTCTAATTTTCTTCAAAAGTTTATCCTTTGTATTCATAGCCTGGCTAACTATTTGGAACAAGAGGCCTAGCTTTTAAGCCTATCTCATCTTTTGACTTATCTTCCTCACTAGCTTATTTCTAGCTTATGATTTTAAAGTGAGAGACTCATGACTCTTCCTTTCACTTGAACACTTAGAGGCCATTGTAGGGTTGTCAGTTACCTAATTTCAATATTGTGTGACTAGTCATAACACACAAAACATCTGTTAGGTTTGTATCTTACATGGGTATGGTTTGTGGCCCCTTCAAAATAATTATCGCATCAACATAATTACAACATAATATATCAAAAATGACTGAACACAGTTGCTAATGAGAGATAAAATAATAATGAAAAAGTTTGAAATATTGCAAGAACTACAAAACGTGACACAGATATGAAATGAACACATGCCATTGGAAAAATAGCATCGACAGACTTGCTTAATGAGGATCACCCACAGACTTAGAGGTTGCAAAGAATGGCGTAACATGAAGCACAGTAAAACAAAGTATGCAAACACAAGCACAATGGAATATGTTTCAGCCATAAAAAAAGGAGGAAATTTTGTCATTTGCCACAACATGGGTGGATCTTGAAGTGACTTAAATCAGACAGAAAGACAAATGCTGGGGCCTCCCTGATGGTGCAGGGGGTTGAACGCAGTGCTGTGAAGCTGTCTGCAGCCTTTGTGGTGCGAGTTCAATCCTCGGCTGGGCAGGAGCAACCCACATGATGCGGCAGACCTCTCCTGTCTCACCCGCTGCTCTCCTCAGCAGTGTATTTCAGTCAGTCTGCCTGTTCTGTTCCCCACTCTTTTTCTGGTGAATCTTCTCACCCCCCGCACCTCTGGCCTATACCCCACATTAAAAAAAAAAAGAAAAGACAAAAAAAAAAAAAAGAAAAAGAAGATTCTGTGGAATCTTCTACAGAAGAAAAAGCAGTTGGCCCTCCATGTCCATGGTTTTTCATTTGTGGATTTAACCAATCTCAGATTGAAAATATTATGTAATTACACCTACATGGTTGTATTTGTACTGAACGCCTACAGTCATTCTCTAGACAGTGCAGTGTAACAACTATATTAGGTATCTATGTGGAGGATATGGGTAGGTTTATGCAACTAATACTCCCTTTTATATAAGGGACTTAAATATTCTTGGATTTTGTTATCTGTGGTGAGTCCCAGAACCAGTTTCCTGAGTATATCAAGGGCAACTGTACCTGTAGATCTAGAGAACCAATTGATAGTTGCCAAGGAGTGATGGGATTGGTAGTTTTGGACAAAATTGAGTGACAATGGTCAGAAGGTACTAAGAAGTCCTGGGGGTGTGATGTACCACATGGTGGCTTTAGTCAATATTTGTGTTGTGTATCATATATTGTATATTACATATTGAAAGTATCCAGGAGAATGGAATCTTAAAAGTTCTCAGTATAAGAAAAATACATTTATAACTGTATGGTGATGGTTATTAACTGAACTTGTTATGGTAGGCATTTTGCAATATATACAAATGTAAAATTATATGTTTGAAACTAATATGTTATATGTAAAAATGTTATTTAAAAAATAAAGGAAGGTTAAAGTTAATAGAAATCATAAGTCCTTCTCCCAGTGTTTCAGAGATACTTTTCATCTAATAGAATTTTCTGGTGTTAAGTAACGTCTCAAAATAATGACTTGCTTCTTTTCAGAATGTTGAACCTTCTGACACAAAACCAATCCATTTTGAACTGAGAGCTGAAAGCCAAAATGCAGAAACAGAGTTTTTCAACAAAGTTTCCAAGAATCTTTCAATTAAGAGGTAATAGATATGTTTTTATTATCATTTACTTTTTAAGTACACTCATTAGTTTTATATGAGTAATTAAAGTAACTTCCTAGTTACTTCTGTGTATGTTATGTATGATACGTATCTTTGCTTTAAATGTATTCCTTCATATTCAGATTTTGGATGATAATTTTAATGAAGTAACAACTCTAATATGGTTCTCATTTGAGTTGATTTATTACATGGGGAGAAAGGTATTTGTCAAGAAATCTTGCTTTGGAGGAAACATCTTGTTTTATTTAATTTGCCTTCTGTTTATTTTTCTCATCATTGTTATATTTAAGCCTGAACCATCAGACAAACTACCATAAAAAAGAATTCATGTACCTAAAAAAGGTGTAGTTATTTTGGGTTTTGTTTGTTTGTTCGTTTGGTGAAGGGGGTTTTTGCATCTATTGACATGGTAAAATGAGGTGTTTGCTTTTTTTTTTTAGGTGGAGGATGACAGTTTCATTTGTGGGGTGGGAAGAGAGCCTGGATTTTAAAACAACAAAAATCAAGGTCTTGCAAGCCAGATAAAATAGAAAACAGCTTGTTTTTTCTTTCTCTCCACCAAACCACCTATGCTCATGACCCAAACATCTACCCCAAATGGTTTTTTAAAACTTTTGGAGCTTGGGAATATTGATTAAATAGCAGTGTTTGTTTTTTGGGGGGGTCATTTTATATCTTTTGTGGTAAAGAAAATATTTCCTTGCATTAGTCAGGGTTCTCTAACAAAACAGAAGTGACAGTACACACACAGATTTTTTTTTTTTTTTTTTTAAGCAGTTGGCTCATGCAGTTGTGGAGATGTGGTTAAGTCCAACATTTGTAGGGTAGGACAGCAGCTGAGAAAAGTTGCAGTTAGATTCCAAATGTAGTTTCCTGGCAGCATTCCCTGTTCTTGGGGAGGCCAGTCTTTGTTTTCTTAAGGTGTTCAACTGATTGGATGAGGCTCACCTACATTAGGGAGAATAATCTGCTTTACTCAGAACCTACTGATTTAAATGTTAATCTCTTATAAAGAAAATTTCTTCACAGAACTATTATTCTAGATATAGAATAATATTTGACCTAATATCTGGGTCATGACAAGACAATGACAATATCTGGGCAAGGCATGAATGACTTTGCCAGGCTGACATGCAGAATTACCTCTTTGTGCTCCTATTCCAGCCTTCTCATGCATTTTATTTCATGCCAGGTAATATGCTAAGGACTGGGGATATGGTGGCAGACATGATCCCCTCCCTCATGGACTTCATATTCCACTGATGGAATGTTGAATATTCTCCTTACTATGAGTCCATAATTTAATATTTGCAAATAGTTAATGACCTCAGTTAAAAGTTACCTTAAAATGATGGTTTATTTTTTGTTCATAAACTTTTGCTTTCTAGTTCATAAACTATTGCTGTTTTTATTTGCTTTTGTGGGACTGGTGCATTCCTTTCTGCTTAAACACACCATGCAAACATTCTGGTTGTTTCATTGCAACAACTTGGCATATAAAGAACTCTGTGTGGCTCTGCGGACTACCGGGGTTTAGGTAGAGGTCTCTGCTGCTGACAGATCTTCCAGATCGTCATGGGGTTTACTCTGCTAGGGAGACAGGATACAGGACCCTTTCTTAGGGACTCCATTAGTATCTAAACTCTCTTAACTTCCTTCTGACTTTTCCTTCATTTTCCTAATCCATCCTATTGATACTTTGTCCAGTTTAGGATGCAAAATAAATTTCATTTGTATAATCTTAAATACTCATTTCAATTTAACTCAATACCAGCACTCAAAATTTTCCTGTGTTCTCCTAGAGTTTGTGACCTGTGACATAATCACTACAACTGACTAAAAAGGAGGAGGTGCCCCAATTAATGCCTCAAAGTAATGTCTCAAAGATACAAGTTCATAGGAAAATATAATTTCTTACTTGATTTTCCTCTTATATACAGTGAGTGCTTAATGCAGTGTGTTTAATACAGTAAGTGTACAACTCATCAGATTACAATTTTTTTATGGTCATCTTTTTTTTTTAATTTTACATTCCTCAAAGTGGTTAGTCAGAAGATGCTCAGTGACTGTTGGTTTATTGTGACACTAAGAATAAGTGAGTTATATGGAAAGCTGTGTGGAGATTCCTCAGACTGCTAAAGATGGAGCTTCCATATGATCCAGCAATTCCCCTCCTAGGTATTTACCCAAAGGACACAGAAACATTAATTCAAAAGGGCACCTGCACCCCTGTGTTTATAGCCGCACTATTTATAATAGCTAAGCGATGGAAAAAACCCAAATGCCCAAAAATAGATGACTGGATCAAGAAGATGTGGTACATATACACAATGGAATATTACTCAGCAATCAAAAAAGATAAACTCATGTAATTTGCAGCAACGTGGATGGAGCTGGAAGGGATCATGCTCAGCGAAATAAGCCAGAAAGAAAAAGAAAAATACCAGAGGTCTCACTCATAGCAGGAATTTAGAAAACCTAAATAAGGGACCAGGGAAAAGACTAATTATAATAAAGTAAAAATCAAAATCAACAAGCAACTATAAACCAGAGCCACACTACAGTGGGGGGAGGAGGGAGTAGGATCAAAACAAAGGAGGGTGGGAATTGTATGGAGACTATAGCCAAGATGAAAATGCATACATTGTGCACAAATGAAAAATGATGTAAAAAATATATAAAATATAAAAAATAAAAAGAATAAGTGAGTTAAACTTGTCCTGATCAACCAAAGAGTTAGCTTTCCTGAGCAACTAACATTGATTTGAAAAATAAAATATTTGTGATTGTCAGATGCTAAATTAAATGATCCAGATACTACCATGGCTTATTAAAGCACTTTATTCAATTTCAAAAAGAAACAAACACTAAATTACTGAAGACTTACTATCTTCCCCTCTATAGGTCTTCCCAAACGTTATCTCCAGGGAAAATGCCAATAAATGATCCTGATTCTGGTGTTGAAGATGAAGATTTTTCTCCAAGACCAATTCCTAGTCCTCATCCAGTAAGTCAGAAGGTATCACTCATCTTGTGTAGAACTCACTTTTGTAGTTAGAAACCTGAAAGTCTCTTTATCTTAAAGGACTCAGTATCTTACTTACTAAAGTAACTCAAAAACTTAAGTTTCATTCTAAGATATGTTAGGTGTCTATATTGTTATGGCACTATATGTAGAGATATCATTCCTCTCAGGTACATATAATCATTACATGTAACCATAAATGTGATTTTATATATACATATATGCACATGTATAATAAGTGTGCATACTTACTATTTACAGAGGAAATTGAGACATAGATTGGTTAAGTTACCTACCCAGTGTTACTCCACTAATATATAGCAAAGCTGGAATTCTAACTCAGATGTTGTTAACCACTGTAGACTCAATATTCTGTACTATCACAAGAGCATGATGTTGGTTTTTATTATTTTGTTCTGAAAAAATAGTCTACTGACTTTTGGAGATTAATTCCTAATAACCCCTGTTATAATTTTTTGATTGCAGCCAACTAGTGGGTTATTTTAGAATTATTGTAGCTTAATTAGACTCATTACTATTAGAAAGAGAGTTGTTTTTTTAATATCAAATCACACTCAATTTCACCACAGTGATTGAGTATTTCCTCTTTCCTGCTGTCTTCCAACTCTCTTGGTTGGCATTAGTAGAAGGAATAATGGTGCATAACTTCACATAATAGAACAATATTCTGAAATATTTATTGAAGGGTCCTTTGTTATTTAACATACAAAAACATTTTTTGCTACTAGATCTGTTGAGGTATACTACCTATGATAAATTTTTTTTTTTAAAGATTTATTTATTTATACAAGCACTGGGTACAGTCAGAAGCGCGGGAGGGCGAGAGAATTCACCAGAGCCAGAGTGGGGAGCAGAGCAGGCAGATGGACAGAAGACATTGCTGAGGGGAACAGCGGGCATGGCAGGAGAGGTCTGCGCTCCATGTGGGACCTGGTGGCCGGGGATCAAACCGGCGCTACAGAGGCTGCGGGCAGCTTCACAGCCCCGTGCTCAACTGCTGCACCACCAGGGGAGGCCCCCTGTGATAAATTTTGCTGAGAAAGAGTTAAAAAAATGCCCTGAATATTATGAAACAGTTTCCTATATTGTGTTCTGTGATATAAGCAATGTTAGTGTTCCAATAAAAGGAGTTCCATTGTTGAAAAAGTGTGAAATGCTTAGTTCTGCCGAGTATAAGCACCTTGTTTATTTTGCTCATAATTGTGTTCCTAGTGTCTTACACATAGAAGATGCACAGAAAATATTTGCCAAGTGTTTTCCTGGAGAATAAATACTTTTTAATAAGTAACTGTACATAATTTGGGAAGGACTGGTCTAAGGAAAGTGAAGCACATCTCTTTCTGCTAAAAAATGCTTTTTTCCTCTTTTATTTCTTTCCCAATTGTAGGTTTCTAAGATCCAACCATTAGTTCCTGAACTTTCACTTGTGTTGGATGGCAATTTCATGGGATCAAACCCTCTGCCCAATCCATTGGAAATGGTGAATAATGAAAATCCTTTGTTGAATAATCACTGTGAACACTTGGAGCCTTTGCAATCCCAGCTTTATGATGAGAAACAAAGCCCGGAAACTGAAGCTGGAGAGCCTTGCTTGAGAGGACCACCAAATCAGTTGAACCAGGGCACTGTTCCTTTGAGACACTGTAAAATAAGGCAGTCATCCTCCTGTAAGAAAGGGAACCCCCATATGAGGAATGGTGTTAAACCGTCTTCTCTTAATGGGCCATCTCCTGATACATCTGAAAAGTTTCAAACAATTTCTGCTGGAAATGTACACAAAGAAGAGTATCCTATAAGATCCTCCACACTTAATTCCAAGCCTTCTTCTCTTGCCCCACAGTCCCACCCACATAATTTTGTTTTCACCCCATAATTCAGGGAGACCAATGGAATTCCAGATACCTACTCCCCCTCCACCATCTTTCTATCCCACAAATGTTTGCAGTTGTTGTCAGCATCATGGGCCTATTCAATGTACTCCAATAAATTCTTGGCAAGGAATGAACACTGTAGGATCCATTCAAGACCTCCAGTCTGAAGCTCTTCAAAAACATTCATTATTTCACTCTAGTGCATGTCCAACTCTGTGCCATAATGCTTTCTACTCCTCAAGTAGTCCTATAGCTTTGAGACCTCAGGGCAGCTTGGGTGGTGGTTCTCCACACGGCAGTGTAGATCCATTGCCTGCTGCAAGATTACCGTCACATGTGGACACTTGTCACCCACGGCCTTGTGCAGCTTGCATGCACACACCCAAGACTGGGTCAGAGGATGGAATGATGGGACTCTCTCCGGATGCTTATAGATTCCTCACAGAACAAGACAAACAGCTGAGACTACTTCAAGCACAGGTTTGGTTGAGGCTTTCTTAGTTCTGATGAATTCTTGGTGTTAATATGATTTCTTAAAAATAACTGACAGCTCTGTAGTCATTTTTTATGGAGTAGAACTATAGAATGTCACAACTAGAAGGCACCTTGGAAACTAAATTCTTGTCTCTCTTGTTTCATAGATAAGTGAAATGAGGATAAGAGATGGAAAATAATTTACTCAATAGCACATTGCTAGGAGTACAACCAGGACTAGAAAGCAAGCCTTTTCTGTCTTGTGCATATCCTAACCTACAAAATAATTGAATTTTTCTTTCATTTTTTGCCTCTTATGAAATCTGTATTTTACTAAATCTTTATATACAACTAAATATAAAGACTGCAGAGTGGATTCTGATGTAATTCTAGTTTGTTTATAGTATGTATGCTAACCCTTTTACCCTTAGAGAATAGTTCTAGAACCACTTTCTGCATATCTTTACTTGTTCCACTCATTTTATTAAACTGAAATGCTTCCTTCATTCCTTGGGACACAGTTCTTAGTCTCAATATATCTTTACATCCTTATTCAACTTAATTTTTCCTTTTTTTCCTTCCTTTATGATAGCCTTTTTCAACTTATCTACTTCCCACTGTTCCCTCCATTACCAATGGAATAACACAAAATGTACTTTCATGTTTTTCCATGATCCTGACTATATCCATGCAAATATATGTATAATGAGGTATACATGTGAGATCTTTCAGGAAAAAAAATCTTTGTTTTATAAAATTGAAGTCATAGTGTTTACAGTTTTCAAAAACAAAGATACTATTTTTCAGATTATGTATAACAGTTGAGATAGGATACCTGAAGAAAATTAGGTTTGCTGTTTTATAAACTTAGCTTTAAATTCTTTCCAGTTGTAAAATGTAAGTTGGATTTTAACAAATGATTGTGAACATTTGGCAGAAATTTTAATGTAGCTAAATATTTCACATTGAAAAGAATTTTTCTCATTTATTTCCTGTCTTGTTAGGAAAAAAAAAAGACTTGTAGAATTTCTAAAAGATATCTTTTACGCTTATTTTGAAGTCCTAGTTGCCTGAGATCTGTATACTTAAAATGAAAATTGTAGAATACTAGCTCTTGTGTAGATTATTTAACTCGTCACACTTGGGAAATACAAAATATGTAGGAAGTACTTTTATGATAAATACATGGTATTTTGTTGATGTGAAAGTTTTTTTACTTTTTTTAAAGATACCATCTTATGTAAAATTTTTGAGAAGCAGGGCCTCCCCGGTGGCGCAGCGGTTGAGCGCTGGGTTGCGAAGCTGCCCGCGGCCTCTGCGGTGCCGGTTCGATCCCCGGCTGCTCCCCGGCCACCGGAGGAGGGTCCCACATGGCGTGCAGACTTCTCCTGCCGCCCGCTGCTCCCCTCAGCAGTGTACTTCGGTCCTTCTGCCTGCTCTGCTCCCCGCTCTGGCTCTGGTGAATTCTCTCACCCTCCCGCGCTTCTGACTGTACCCAGTGCATATATAAACAAAACAAACAAACCAGCAAACAAATAAATAAAGCATGCCTCTATAAAAAAAAAAAAAAAAATTTTGAGAAGCATTACAGTATATTTTCTATAAAAGTATATAGACTTATTTTAATGATATTATAAAGATATACAACAAATTTCTCATTGGCTTCCTATTGATTATTTCAACAGTTTAAAGTTTTACTGTTACAGTGTACATTCCTATTACTTGTATCTTCCTTTATAATTATATATCTCTACAGCAGGATCCCTAGAAGTAAAATTGTAACATCAGAGAGAACATATATTTTAAAGGTTTTAAAGATAACTAAACTTGTTCTTCTCCCAGTATTCTGAGTCATTTTGATGTAGTAGTTAAAAAGGTGGGCTCTGGCACCTAATTTCTTAGGCACTAATCCAGTTTCTATGTAACCTTAATTATGTGCAATCTTAGGCAAGTTTATGTTATCACTCTGCTTTTCAATTTTGCATTTTTAATTGTATAATGAAAGTATCAAGTGCTTGCATCTATGTCTGTACTGTATTCTGTTCCATTCATCTGTCCCTCTGTTTCAGCCCCAGTACCATTGTCTTTTATTCAAGAGTTTCCTATATGATGCCTAAAGCTAACTTTTCTCATCTGTAAATTGGGAGTGATGATTGGTACTATATTTAGATTTGAATGAAATTAAATGAGTGTGTATGTGTGTGTGTATAGATACATAGATTTAGTGTTAAACGTAGGACCTTGTTATAGTAAGCATTTAACAAATGACAACTCTGTCTTATTTATGTCTTAGTCATCATAGCTGTCTTAGTTTTAGGTGATACTGAAGCTTACAGTACTAAAATAGCTTTTCCAAAAGTTTAGCTGAGTAGGATTTAAACTTCTAACCTCCCATAATAGATGGTTCTGTTTATATATAATGTCCAGAGTTAGGGATACTTATTAGTTATGACTTGGGCACATAACTTTATTTTTAATGCTTCAAGTTGTCTTATCTGTAAAATGTTTAATAGTACATTCTTAATGGGGCCTGTTGTAAAAATCATACATAAACACTCTTAGCACAGTGTCTTGTAAACAAGAAGCACTTAGTAACTGTTGCTACTATTATTCGTATCTCCAGTTTCAGTATAGCCAAACATAAGCAATTCTGATTAACCTTTATAAGAAGACTCTTAGGTAAAAAATATTTGGTATTTGGAATTAGAGTATACTTCTGATCTTACTTTTGATTTATAATTGAAATAGGAATAAAAGGTTGCTTTGAAGTGTGAGCACTCAGGTTTTTCTATATTAGTGTCAATTATGAGCAAACATGAATACTGATCTAAACACCTTTGTGTTTTTAATTTTTAAATTTATACTTAGCTCAACATACTTCTTAATAATGAATGATTGATGGTTTCTTACACTGATTACATTTTATGGTTATGATCTAGTTGAAATGAGAAAATAGTTTATCATTAGTTATTTATAACTAGGGTACTTTGTGATTCATTTTTAAACTCTTGCAAATTTTGTTGGTTACTTGATTGTGAGTTTAAAATATGTTTTAATTGCTGCAGATTCAGCGTTTATTGGAAGCACAATCTCTGCAGCCCTGTTCCCCGAAGGCAGCGGCTGTTGAGGACACAGTGCAAGCTGCAAGACAAATGGAGTTGGTGTCCATGGAAGCACAGTCTTCCCCTAGTTTGCACATGAGGAAAAGTGTAAGCATTGCTGTAAGCACAGGTAATTTAATTTATTCATAAGGAATTTGTTTTAATGCTTTTCACCATTTGCTTTCTAAATTTTTGTATTAAATTGGTTCATGGTCCAAATAGAACCAAAACCAAGATGATGAGACTATAACTTGCTTAAATCTTTGTGTCATTTTATTACTTATGAAATAAAACTATACCTGAAGTCAGATGTGAAACCACATAAAACATTGTTTTTGCTACTTTCCCAGACTGAACCCAATTAATAAGAGAAATCATCTGTGATTTGAGGGATCGGAAAGGTTTCATTTATGCAGTATTATTGATTCTGGGCCTGGAGGGTATGGAGAATTTCAGTAAGGGAATTGAGAGATGGCAGGACAATTGGGTAGAGAAAATAGTATGGGCCCACTGTGAAAAGGAAGTGCTCCAAGTCATCCAGAGTCTCGACATTACTGTTACGGAGAGCCTTTATTAGAAATGTCTACTTTGGTAGACAGTATTGAAGATCTTTTATAGAAATCAATAACATAAATGACATTTATTTACATGTGTACTTATCTCCAGGCCATGAGATCTTCAAGAATGTCTTTGTATCCCCATGATCTAACAAGATGTCTAGGACATAAACTGGTAGTGATTTAAAAAAGAAGTCATTAAGGGTGCTGATAAGATTTGAGTACTGACTGAATGTGGCAAATGAGGAATGGTGGCGAGGAGATTAAAAAGTTATTCCTGCTAAATGCAAAGTGATGACCTAAATTGGAGCCTCAAACATAAAAAGGGTATTAGTGAGAAAATTAGTGAAATTTAAATAAAGTCTAGAGTTTTAGTTAATAGTAATATGCTAATGTTGGCTTCTTGATTTTGAAAAATGTATTAGATAATGCAAGATGTTAGCATCAGGGAAAACTGGATGAGGGAAGGGTATATGAGAACTAAAATTATTAAAAATTAAAAGATTTATTAGAAATGAAAATAAAAGGAAAAAGACTAATTAATAGAAAGTAAAAATCAAAATCAACAAGCAGCTATAAACCAGAGACACACCACGGGGGTAGGGGGAGGGAAGAGGAGAGGAAGGACTAGGGTCAAAGTGTGGGGGGGTGCAATTGTATGGGGAATATAACCAAAATGATAATGTATACATTGTGCAAAAATGAAAAATGATGTAAGAATTATATAAAATAAAATATTAATTAAAAAAAAGAAATGAAAATAAAAGTTACTCCAGGATTTTAAACCTGGGTGACAGAGGGAAAGGTGATAGCATTAAACAAGAAGAGGCAAGTTAAAGACACAGAGAGAGGGATGAGTTCAATCTAAATATCTGTGGCGATTGAGCTGCTTTTGGAAATATTTATAGTGATACTCATGTCAGAAGAATGCAGGTGAATTGATGGCATAAAACTTGCAAAAGTAACAGGTGAAGATTTGAGCCTAGAGAATAAGAATTTGAGAGGGAGAATAAAAAAAGAATATAGATTTCTGTATATTTTTTTAATCCATACATTATCTAGACTACCCATGTAGAGGGAAGCAAGAAAGGAGGGTAAGAAGAAACTCATCTCATATACCTTTTAAAGTTAAATTCCGGTATTACCCAGTATTAAGATTCTTTGGCTGCAAGTAATAAAAAACTTGAGCTAACTTAAGCAGGAAAGGAGAATTTACTGGAAGCCAACACCAAGAATGTGGCTGAACATAAGGAAAAAAAATAGAAATCGGAATACCATTAGGTCTATCCATTTATTCTTCATGACTGTTTTACAAGAACCAGGGTACAGACCAGATGCACGGGAGGGTGAGAGGATTCACCGGAGACAGAGAAGGAAACAGAAGAGGTAGACTGAAGAAATACACTGCTGAGGGAGCAGCAGGCGAGACAGGAGAAGTCTGCTTCACCATGTGGGATTCTTGCCGGCTGGCCGGGATCGAACTCACGCTGCAGAGGCTACAGACAGCTTCATAGTGTGGTGCTCAACTGCCTGCGCCACCAGGGAGGCCCTCAGAACAACAGTTTTAAGCACACAGATCCCCAAATTGTATTCAGGACCTTAATATGTAAAATACAACATCAGAGAACCTCATTTCTTGAAGAGGCAGAGCTTTGAATGCCCCCATTTTCTCTTTTTGCCTTTTACCCCTTCCTGTCATTTTTAAGGAAATATAACCTAAAAGCAGTTCTAAGTAATTGTGTTAAAACAGTATAGCCAGTCTTATTTAACAAAGATTTGTCAAAGAATTATTTTCATAGCTGAATATTTCTTTTAATATCTTTTAAATCATTTAACCCACAGGCGCTAGCTTGTTTTGGAATGCAGCAGGTGATCAAGAGCCTGAATCTCAGCTGAAGCAAGATGATACCAAGATTTCCAGTGAGGACATGAATTTTTCAGTTCATATTAATAATGAAGTCACAAGTCCTCCAGGTAGTGCATCTTCATTAAAAGCAGTTGATATTCCCAGTTTTGAAGAGAGCAACATTGCTATAGAAGAAGAATTTAATCAACCACATTCTGTATCCAAGTAAGGTTTCCTTGATTCAATATATACCCTACTTCTTTTTTCCTTTTAAAATTCTAATATTCTTTTGGTGTTCTAACTCTAATGGCATTACAAACAAATGACAAAACCACATGAAGGAATGAGGGAGGAAAAAACTAACCTAAATAATCATGGGAAAAATATTTTCATGGGATATCATAAAGCTGAAGATAAACTGTAAACAAATATCATACTCTAATAAATCTTTCAGAATTCTTAATTCTGAAACTAGTATAGCAAACATAAAATGAGAATTTTTTCACTCTTGGTGAAAGAAGTTGAAAAGGGGTATTAAATTGGAATCAGAGGCCTGATATGAAGTCAAAGGATTTTCAAAGATAGATACCCATAGAAGTAAATACAGATGTGTATGTATGTATGAGTTAGTATATATACACATACCTCTAGCTGAGGGGCTTAGAGGCACAGATACAAAGAAGCGCATGCCAGTACCCAGATCTTGGTTTCTAAATACTATTCTCTGATGCCATTGCTACTGGTCTCTGTGGTTGCTTCTCTCTGGGGTAGAGAAAATAAAAGATGAACATGGAACATCTTATGGTGCCAGAAAATAAGAAGATGCTCCCATGGTTTTCCTGAAAGAAACATGGCAATCTGGAAAGAGCTTCCAGTGTCCAAAACAGAAACAATTTGAGCAGCAAAATAAATAATGATAGTACTGAGAGAAAATACTTGAGGAGAAGATATTTGCAGAGTCTCTATCTCCCTCAAAGTATTTACTAAGTACAAAGGGAAAAAATTAACTTTACAGTGGAAAAAACTGGCAGATTTCACCTTATCCCAGTGATCAAGATCAAAACATAAATGACATCATATACCCCCTGATAGGGTGCTTTGAGAAGGTCAGAACACCAGTTCTGTGGTATTCTTGCCAAAAAGTCAAAAGTTTAAATTACAAGAAAGTATCAGACAAATTTAAATTAGATGACATTCTACCAAATAGCTGATTAGTACTTGTCAAATGTGTTAAGATCATGAAAGACAAGGAAAAAACTGAAAGTCTGTCATAGATTGGAGTAAGGAGATATAGCTACAAGGTGGGACATTGCCGGAAAAACTGGTAAGGCTAGGATTTGCAATTTAGTTTATATAATATTTTACTGATGTTAATTTCCTGACTTTCATATTTTTACTATGGTTATAAGGTGTTAACATTAGAGAAAGCTGGCTGAATATACTATTTCTTTTTCTTTTTTTTTAAAGATTTATTTATTTATGCATACAAGAGCTGGGGTGTAGGCCAGAGGTGCTGAGAAGTGAGAGGACTCACCAACGACAGAGTAAGGAGCAGAACAGGCAGATCCACTGAAGTACACTGCTGAGGGGATCAACGGGCGAGACAGGAGAGGTCTGCTGTTCCATGTGGGTTAGTTCCCTGGCCAGTGATTGAACTCCAGCTACAGTGGCTGCTGATAGCTTCAGAGTGTGAGACTTCACCCCTTGCACCACAGGGAGGCCTGAATATACTATTTCTTGAACTTTTCTGTTAATCTAAAATTTCAAAATAAAAATGTCTCACACAATATAAAATTCTACATTAAGTTCCTTTTACTCAAGTGAAGTTTGGTAAGGAAATCAGAGATCCTAAAGAAGGGAAAATAAAACAAAAAATGACAGTGTATGTATACTATAATCACCGTGTTGTATCTCAGACACAATGACATGTTGTTCTTAAAATCAGGACTCTTCCAGTCCATACCATTCCTTATGGTGAAACTGCATTTAAACCAGTAAAAGGACAAGCACATTTATCCTAAACTCTAAAGGCCTGCAGGGAAATTACGTTGTATAGTTTGTTTTAGTGTTCATATTTGTACACTTGAATAGATATCAAGAATTATATGTTAGGAGGCCTCTCTGGTAGCCTAAAGGTTAAGTCTCAGCGCTGTCACCACAATGCCTCGCTGTGGCAGCCTGAGTTCGATCCCTGACCAGGGAGCTAACCCATATATGGTGTAGCAGACCTCTCCTGTCACGCCCGTTGCTCCCCAAAGCAGAGTATTTTCAGCAAATGAACCTGTTCTGCTCCCCATTCTGTCTCTAGCGAATCCTCTCACCCGCCTGTACCTCTGGCCTACACCCCAGTTCTTCTATGCAAAAATAAATAAAATCTTAAAAAAAAAAAAAGATTTAAATGTTATACACAGAGAAAACATGCCTATTTAATAACCTTAAGGGAGACGTAATTGCAAATCAAATATCCAGAATATATAGAGAACTCTTGAAACCCAACAACAAAAATTTAAATAACCTTATTAAAAATAGGCAGAGGACATTGCTCTCCAATGATAAGACCAACAGGCATATGAAAAGATGTCCAATTTCATTAATCATGAGAGAAACACAAATAGAAAACAATGAGATGTCACCTCATTCCCATTGGGATGACTACTATAAAAAAAAAAACAACAGAAAATAACAATTGTTGGCAAGGATGTAGAGGAGCCAGAACCCTTGTACAATGTTGGTGGAAATGTAAAATGATGTAACCACCATGAAAAATAGTATGGGACTTCCAAAAAAAACTTTAATGGCTCTACCATATGATTCTGGGTGTACATCCAAAAGACTTGAAAGTGGCTATCTCCACACTCATGTTCACAAGAGCATTATTTATAATAGCCAAGTGTCAAAGTAACCCAGATTTCCATTGATGTATGTATAGATGATGAAAGTGTGGCATAGACATACAACAGAATATTATTCAGCCTTAGGAAGAAAATCTTGTCATATGCTACAGTGTGGATAAATTTGAGGACTTTATGTTAAGTAAAATAAAGTACTCATAAAAAGATAACTATATGATTACACTTGCCATGTTTCTACCTGGAACTCTTCTCCAGATACTCACATGACTGGTCCTTTCTCATCATTCAAGTCACTGCTCAAGTGTTACCCCTCAGGGAGGGCTTCCTACACCACCCTACTTAATATAACCTCTCGCTTCTTTGTCCCTATCCCAGTTACACTCCACTTGATCACCCTGGTTTATTTTCTTCAGAGCAGCTGTCATTCTGTGAAATTATTTGTTGCATATGTGGTATTGTTTGTCTCCACAACTCACAGAAATGCCGTGCAGTTAGGGATTTTTTAATCTGCTCAATCTGTTGGGTCTAGTTCTGTAGCAGCACGTACCATAAGTTCAAAGAATATTTGCTGGGTTTGTTTCCAATTTATGGAAGACCTAATTACTTCGGAATGGCCTCCCTGGTGGTGCAGGGATTAAGATCTCAGCACTGTCGAGCTATATAGCCAGCCACTGCTGCATGAGTTCGATCCCCAGCCAGGGAGCTAACCCACATGGCACAGCAGACCACTCCTGTCTTGCCTGATGGTCCCCTTAGCAGTGTGTTTCAGTAGGTCTGCCTGTTCTGTTCTCCACTCTGTCTCTGGTGAATCCTCTCACACTCTGCACCTCTGTTCTACACCCTAGCTCTTCTATGCATAAATACATTAAAAAATCTTTAAAAAAAGAAATTACTTTGGAATCCTTTTTTAATTGCAAATATTATAACAACAATTTTCAAGCATAAGATTATGAGAATAGTTTAGCAAGCCACTATATATAATCAGTTTTAAAAATTTCCTACTCATAATCCATCTTATTTCAGTTATATCCCTAGCCATTTCAGCTTCTACCAGGTTATTTTGATATAACTCTCAGATAAGATTTCACATATAAACATACAGGTTGAAGTTACAGCACTTCAAATATATGTTAAAGGTACCTCAATAACTAACACATATATCCTTTCAAGCAGCTCTTCTCCACTTGTAAGAAAAGAGCCTGATGTGCCTGTGTTCTTTCCGAATTCCCTGCTGGCAGAGAATGTAAGCATGTGTTTGCAGACTGGACCAACAGAGGGCACCAGTAACAACTCTGTAACATCTGGGGAACCAAAAATTGAGCAAGTTACGCAATCTTTGCCTCATCAACCATCAGATAATCAGAAAATATATCAGGATTTATTGGTAAGAAAATGTGAAGCATTTCAGCTTTTGTGAGATGGTTATTTAGTCCAGGGCACATCATTAAAATCTTTCTTAGCCTTAAATGATCAGCACCTTGATATTAAAAAGATTTTTTTTGAGATTTGAAGATATATCATTTGTTTCTTTTAGTTTTTCATAAAACATGATAACCTAATTCATCAGTTTACTGTAAACACACCAGTCAGTCATCAGGTACTTAGATAACAGAAAAAAAGCCTTATTTTAAAATATGTGTTGCTACTGCACCAAATTAAAGCTAAAAGTTAGTATCAGAAAAAAGTAAGCGAGATTTTACAGAAAATTTGAAAATTCAAAAGTAGTAGAACAGTTATGATAATATTTACTGATTTCAGTTCAAGTAAACAGATTTTTATTGAATATACTTAGCTTAGTCTAATAAAGAAAACTAAATAAGGAGAAAATGTAAAGATGCATATGGCAATCTCTGCCCTTGAGAACCTAGAAGTAGTATGTGGATACTAGGTGACAGTTATAGGACAGTCTGGAAAGTACTTTTGGAAGCAAAGGCAGTACAGAGAAAAGGATAATTCTGGTTGGAGGAAAACAGTCATCTTGGAAAGGTTAGAATTTGAACTTAAAGGTTTAAATGACACTGATTCATTTCCATCCAAATTGGAGACTGGAACATTTGATTCCTACATTTATAAGTGAAGGCTAATTTAACATAATTCATAGATCCCCAAGTATTCATCAATGAACATATATTTGTTATTTGCCCACTAAGTCCTAGGCCTGGTTCTGGCTAGTAGTTGTGGGCTTAGGAAATGCAATATGCTTTAATGTCAGGAAGGCAGAATTAGGATCACAGGGCATTCTCATTCTGACTGAATAAACAAAGGAGTCAAATTCAAATGAAGATCTGTTTTGTGACTGAAACAACCATTTTTCAAATTTTTTAAATAATTGTTGTAAGAGTACTTGAGATATTCAAGTAAGAATACTTGAAATATTCAAATGATTTAAAATCTATTGGTTTTAAAATGAAAAAGTTTTGGAACCTCCCTAGTGGTACGGCAATTTGAGTGCCGCGCTGTGAAGCTGTCCTCAGCCTCTGTAGCACAGGTTCGATACCTGGCCGGCTAGGGAGCAACCCACACGGTACGGCAGACCTCTCCTGCCTCGCCCGCTGCTCTCCTCAGCAGTGTCTTCAGTCCATCTGCCTGTTCTGCTCCCTGCTCTGTCTCTGGTGAATTTTCTCACCCTACCATGCCACTGGCCTGTACCCCAGTTCTTGTATAAATAAATAAATCTCAGGAAAAAAAAAAGATTTAAAAAATAAGGAAATAAAATGAAAAAGTTCTGAACAAAACATTTTAGGATCTTTAGAGTCTGGTGAAATAATTCATTAGGAAGGGGTTCTTTTATAAAAATGTCATAATACTTGCAAATGTACTTGATACTTTGTAGAATTTCACAGGATGTTATTTTTCATTTCCCTTGCTTTACCATTGCTATTATTTATACTTTTGTTTCCTAAGAATGTTACGCGTGATTTTTTAAAATCTGTCCTTTTTCTTTTCATTAGGGTCAAGTGAACCACCTATTAAATAATTCCCCCAAAGAAACTGAGCAACCATCTACTAAAGCAGTAATTATCAGCCATGAATGTACCAGAACCCAAAATGTCTACCATGCAAAGAAGAAAAAGCATGATTCAGGCTTGGTGGACAAAGATTGTGTTCTTAATGCAACCCTTAAGCAACTAAGAAGCCTTGGAGTAAAAATTGATTCTCCCACTAAAGTGAAGAAAAATGCACATAAAGTAGATCATGCCAGGTAACTTCAAAATTTATTTTAATAGATTAATAAATTTTAGATGTATTGCAGTGGTCTCACAAGAAAAGGTATAAGCTTGCCAATCAATTCAATTTAATTCATTATGTGTTCAGGGCCTCATATATGTGTGATGAATAAGAGATCATCTCTACCCTTTGGTTATTCAGTTTGGTAGGAGAGAGGGTTACATACTTGGGTAATTTGAGAGCTATTGTGGGATGTCTCCTGAAGATGTCAACAGAATGTTGTGGGAGTTGAGGAAAAATGAGCTTTTACTCATTTGTGCTGTCTGGGTAGGCTTCTGGAGTGACAGTTTTCTGTGCCAGGTACTGCACATACTGTTATGCAGTTATGCCATCTGTAATGCAAAAACATTACTTAGTGTAGGAATTGAAGAGTCTAGTTACCCAAACCTTCCTTATTGCTCACCAGTTCCTTTTGGCCATACCGTTCAGTTTCTTCTTCATTCCAGGTGGCCTTGGTGCATATTTGCTTTTAAAAAGAGGGCCAAATCTGGAAATGTATCACTAAGTTTCGCATGTTGTCTGTTATTTTTGCTGTTGTTTTCTAATTACAAAAGTAATACAGCCTCATGATTTAAAAAATACCAATACCGAGGCCACCTTGGTGGTGCAAGTGGTTAAGCGTCAGCACTATGAAGCTATACACAACTTCTGCAGCATGAATTTGATCCCCAGCCAGGAAGGTGACCCACATGGTGCAGCAGACCTCTCCTGTCTCGCCTGCTGCTCCCCTCAGCAGTGTGTTTCAGTCAGTCAATCTGTTCCCCACTCTGCCTCTGGTGAATCCTCTCACTCTCCCGCACCTCTGGTCTGTACCCGAGTTCTTGTATGCATGCATAAACAAATAAACAAATAAATAAATAAATAAAATACCAATACTGAGAATATCAGATGAAATACAAAAGTCCCCAACTCCCAAACTGACTCCTCCATGATTATTTCTCTTAACTGTTTTTTATTCTTCTAGAAACTTTGTTCTTCATGCTCAAGTATATTATGTATGTGATGAGTATTGTAGTTTGGCTTTTTTGCCTAACATTATATCTTAAATCCTTGTAGACATATGCAGTTGTTTCTTCTGCATCTTAACAACCGCACATAATTCTCTTGTGTTCCCATTACTGGAATATAGTGAATCCCAGTCCTTTATTAATGGACTTTTAGGCTGAATCTGTCATTTCTTATCTTAAACAATGCTGAATGAACATCATTCTATAGGTATATGTACACATATCTTCATAGGATAGATTCTTACACAAAGGCAGGATCAAAAAATTTGTGCATGGGCCTCCCCTGGTAGCGCAGCCGTTGAGCACTGGGCTGCGAGGCTGCCCGCAGCCTCTGCAGCGCCAGTTCGTTCCCCGGCCGCTGGCGAGGGTCCCACAAAAAAAAAAAAAAAAAAATTTGTGCATGTAAAGTTTGGTAAAGGTTAATTACCATTGTCCACCAAAATCAATGTATCAGTTTATATTCCTACCAACAGTGAAGGAAAGTGAGGCTAGTATTTTCAAAGGTCTGGTTTCCATACTGTGAGATAGAGGCCATATAATGTCTGTTGGAATGGTTAAATTTTGGCATTACTGCCTTTGGGCTTTAGTTTTATGTGATGTTTTTCTTCATTAGGCAGCCACTCTATTTTAATGTCTTTGGTATGAAATATTGCCATTAATATTTTCAGTAATGAACTTGATTCATGTTTTAAATGCCTGGAATGAAATGGAAAATAAAGCCTTTTTCAGTAAATCAGTGTGGCATAATCAAATTGTTTTAATCAAGATTATCCTGCTCATACCTTAACAATTTATATTATTTATAGTATAAAATAATATATGCTCGGGCCTCCCTGGTGGCGCAGGCGGTTGAGCACAGTGCTATGAAGCTGTCCGCAGCCTCTGCAGTGCCAGTTCAATCCCCGCCGGCCTCGGAGCAACCCATATAGCGAGCAGACCTCTCCTGTCTTGCCTGCTGCCCGCCTCAGCAGTGTATTTCGGTCGGCTGCCTGTTCTGTTCCCTGCTCTGTCTCTGGTGAATCCTCTCACTCTCCCATGCATCTAGCCTGTACCCCAGCTCTTATATAAATAAAATAAATTTAAAAAAAAGTGTGGAGCTCTTTAAAAAAAAAAAAATAATAATAATAATAATAATATATGCTCAGGGTTGGAATTTTAGAAAATGAAAAAGATGCTATCTGGAGTAATAACACCAAAAGAAATAAGCTTTTTAGGAAACACAGTTTTACTGTCTGTATAATTTTGGCTTTTTAAAAACATGTTAGCATTTATGAAATAGGAATTTTCATTTAATATTGTGGACTATGAAGTATTTTCCTAAAATAATAGCCTGGCAGAAATTTGCAATACCATAGCTATATTTCCATATAAAGAAAACGTTTAAGTTTTATAATCTGGTATAAATTATATAAAATATTATATAGAGCTCTAGAACTAGAATTTGATATTTGTTTTGTTCTGATTATCAAAGTAATGTAATATAAGCTTATTTTCAAAACTTTGGAAAATTTAGAAAAGTTGACCAAAAAACATGTTTGTGCCAGCCAAACCTAGTTATTACTAAATTTTTCTTTTCTTTTTTTTTTAAAGATTTATTTATTTATACAAGAATTGGGGTACAGGCCAGAAGTGTGGGAGGGTGAGAGGTTTCATCGAGAGACGGAGCTGGGAGCAGAATAGGCAGATGACTGAAAACACTGCTGAGGGGAGCAGCAGGCAAGGCAGGAGAGGTCTGCGGCGCCATTTGGGCATCTCCCTAGTGGGCTGGGAACCCGCTGCAGTGACTGCGGACAGCTTCACAGTGATGGCGCTCAACCCGCTATGCCACTGGGGAGGCCCTAAATTTTGCTTTTGCTTTTGCTTTTCCTTCTGTTTTTCTGAAGTATTAATAGGAACCATTTATTGAATGTTCAGAATGTGTCAGGAATTGTATTAGAGTTTTAAGCAGCATTATTTTATTTAATCCTTTTAACAATCTATGGCATGTAGAAACTGTTTTTATTCCTGTTTTATAGATGAAGAAATTAAGTATCAATGTGTTCAAGGCCCCTCACCAATGATTTTTTAAACCTGCTGTTCTACTCCAGGGTCCATAACTTTGAGTTTTTTGTTGTTTGTGTGTTTTTTGACTGTTTTGTTCTTCTGTTTTCTGTTTGTTTAAATTTTTTTGGTGAAGTCTGATTATGGTTTATATTTTGCTGCTTTCTGTTTTATGCTCAGCCTACCTCTGTTTTTGTTTTGTTTTGTTTTTTGTTTTCAGGTTTTATATTGGGAAATAAGCCAGGTTGTAATAACCCTTTCTAAGAATCATCTTTAATGGGAATATAATAACTTACCAAGCAGGACAGAATGAAAAGAACTTGTCTAGCTGGTTGCAATTTCTTACTATTTCAAATATTGCTATGATGAACTTCTTTTTGCCAATATTGTAATTTTTAGTTTTAGGATTATTTCCTTAGAATAGACTCTCAGAAATAGTCAGACTAAGTCAAAGTGGGAGGGAAATTGTAAAGCTGTTGCTACATTGCTTTCTGAAAGTAAGACTTTTTACTTCTACCAGATACATGTTTCACTATTTCACCAGTACTTTCATTTTATGTAAATAAGTATGTATTGAGCTTCTACTCTGAGCCAGCTATGAGCACTATCTTGGTATGCAATATAACCTGTTAAAGACAGCTTGCTCTCACAGAGCTTATAGTTCAGTGAAGATATAAAGATTATTTATCTTTGTCAATTACAATATATTCTGATATCCTCTAAGACATGTACTGTGATATGAATTAACATTACCTCAATAAATATAATATAAATAAATATAAATATAACCTAACAACAAAAGCCTGGCAGTCAAGTAAACACAGCAATTAATTAAATGATGCAGTGGCAACCCTCAAAAATTTTTTTTTACCTTTTTAATGGGAAATTTCCTATATTTCTTAGATTTACTAAGTATAAGAAATACATTTCAATATCCCTTGCACAAATTGTGGTATTTAAAAAAGAAAAGGAAGGATGTAATATGCTATGTAAGCCCATAGGTGAGGTATCTGACATTAGCAGTATTTTTAGTCTGTATTATAATTATCCTTTATTAAAATTACCCTTTTTAATGATCTGTGCTAATTTAGATCAAAGACATCTTAAATTGTTTATCATTTCTATTTTATTAATTGGCTCTGTGTTACTGTGATCAAAAATAAAACTGCACTAAAAATTGTTGCATCTCTAACACATGAAAGTCAAATTTTGTCAGTAGTCTTAAATCTTAAGTTTGGAGTATCCTTTCCGCCTGTCTGATTAATTTACATCGTTGCATGGTGTGTCATAAACTCAGTCTTCTACCACTCTCACCAAGTTCCGGCTTAGCCACTGTTGGCATTTGCAAGGTTTCTTCCTGTTACTTTTATCTGGGATATTCTTTTTCACCCAATATCTTGCCAGAATCCTTCTTAACCTTCAAAACTAAACTTAGATGTCACCTTCCTTGTCACTATCATCTGTACCCCTCATCAGAATATTGATACTTTGTACTCAGGATACTTTATTCCTAATAGATTATAGCATGTTCTTGTGGTAACCTTTCCAGGAAGATTTATGTGTCTCTGAATTCTCATTGCCTTTACTGTGCTTCATAGACTTCAGTGAATCATTTCCTGAATGAAGCAAATCCCACCTACTCAGGTGATCACTGATTCTTAAAATAAATGCTTTATTTTTAGTACCTCAGTAGTACTTATTGGCAGTATTTACTATTATATTCTAACACACATGGCTATAATATAACTGGAATGCTAAAAGTTTATAAGGCAGTTCAGAATTTTAGACATGTTTTTCTACAGATACAGTGTTACAGATTGTAGTTTAGTTTTCTGAGGATCTTTATAATCCCTGTGATCCCTCCTATTCCTCTAGTTCTTATAAAACAGCTATCCTTTGCCATTGTGTCCAGGTGAAAGAACTGTAATAGATTTTTAACGAAGTTGAACAGCTAGTAAGAGCAAGTTGAGATCGGGTCTGACTTACTCTCTGGGGCTCTTTCATTATATTGTATAAAGCATTTTGTTGTAAAGGGGTTTTTCTGTTCACTAAAAATGAGTGCCTTGTGTTTGATCTTAAAACCATCACTAATGTATAAATTTAGGAAAACTAATTTGTGTTTCTGTTTCGGTCTGTGAATCGTGTATTACCTTCTTGAATATATCTAGATCATCAAACTCAGATGAAAAGCACCCTGAAGGCCAAAGCTGAAGGCTTTTTGTTCCTTGCACGAAATGGAACACATTGAGAATAACACTGTTTAGTTTCAAAACAAGACAAATGACAGCCTACCCCTTTGTGTCTTTCAGTGTATTGGCCTGCATCAGCCCTGAAGCAGTGATCTCTGGATTAAACTACATGTCATTTGCTAATGTTGGCGTGAGTGGCTTAAGCCCCAATGGTGTGGATTTGAGCATGGAAGCAAATGCTATAGCTCTGAAATATTTAAATGAAAATCAGCTGTCACAGCTGTCTCTGTCTCGATCAAACCAAAATAACTGTGACTCATCTTTTAGCCTTTTTCATATTAATACAGACAGAAGCACAGTGGGGCTTAGTTTAATTTCACCAAACAACATGTCATTCGCAACCAAAAAATACATGAAGAGATATGGACTCATACAAAGCAGTGACAATAGTGAAGATGAAGAGGAGCCCCCAGACAGTACAGAGATCAAGAGTGAACATTTATTGAATCAAAACCCTACATCCATACCTGAACAACTTGGTTGTCAGAAAGAGCCTTCTCGAAATGCCTGTGAAATAATTAATTGTTATAACTGTGACTCTGTGGGCACTTACACAGACATGCCAGTATTGAAAAATATTACAAATGAAGTTGTTCAGCCAAAAGCAACACGGCAGTTGGATGAAAACCCAGCCTTCTTATTAAAGAACCTAAAACCAAGTCCTGCAATGAATCTCCGACCTGGAAAAGCAGAGTTTACCCCGCATCCTGAGAAAGAAAATGAGAGGGACATTCCTGTTTTCCCTGAAAGTTTGAAACCCTCTGAAAGTTTAAAGCAAATGAATAGTATGAATTCAGTAGGCACTTTTCTAGATGTAAAGCGTCTCAGACAGTTGCCAAAATTGTTTTAAATATTTAGCTCCCTACTCTCCTGATAGGAGGATGGACTGTCCCTTGAAGATATTTAAAGAAACCAGTGTCTTTGGGTAGTTTGGGGATTCCTAGTCATTCTAGGAGTTACCTGTTTCTTGGCAACAGCTGATTACAAAGAGCTTAACAAGTGACCTGATGAGATATTTACTAGTAGGGTGCTAAGTCCTCTTTGTTCAGGTAGAGTTATTCAGCGTCACTGAAACCTTTTTTAAAAAAACAATTCCTGAGATCAGTTATTTCAACAAATTTAGGCGAATTTTGATTCTGGACTCCTGTTTTATACTCTGCCATTTGAAAAGTAAGTCTTTTCCTAGTGTGTTGCATCTGTGCATCTGTTTACCCAGAATCACCTAAAAGAACGGGTAATAACATTATCATGACCCTGACTAAATTAGCTGAGTCGACCCTTATTGAATTTAAGGGGAAACTTTTATTTTAAAAAATAATAACATCTTTTATACAAATAGTGTATATGTCCTTAATTAAGATGCATCTTTTGCAATCTGGTGGGTTGTTGTTAATGTAATCTTTTCAACATACAGCACTAGCTATCACAGAATAAGAAAATTATTAGGTATGAGTGTGTATTATAAACTTTGTTTTCAAATGTTTTAATTTTTTAATAGAACTTAAATAAAATTGTCTACACCGACTGTTTTCTTTTGTCCTCAGCAATAGTTTATTATTCCCCACTTTAAAAAGCAAAACTTTTAGGTTCCTAAATAGTTACAAGTTTAGAGTTGAGGTATACCATTTACCCAGGGACCCCAGTGTCTTATATAACCATAGGAAATGATCACAGCCAAGAAATTGACATTGGCTACAATATTAGTAACGATACCACAGACATTCCAGTTTTCACCAGTTTCTACACACACTCATTTATTTACTTTTTGGTGTACAGCACTATGACAGTTTTGTCACATGTAGGTTAGTATAATCATCACCACAGTCAGCATACAGAAAGAAATCATCACCACAGTCAGGATACACAGTCATCACCACAAAGAAACTAGAGCTCCCCTTTTCAAACACCCTCCCTCAAATCTCAACCCCTGACAATCAATGGTCTCTTCACTGGAATTTTTTCATTTTGAGAATGTTAATGTGAATGGAAACACAGAAAGTAACTTCTTGAAATTGATTTTCATTCAGCATAATGTCCTTGAGTTCCATCTAAGTTATCAAGTGTGACAATAGTTGCTTCCTTTATCCCCCCACCTTGATAGGGGTTAAGTTTTAAATGGTTATTTATGATGATTAATGAAAAAAGTCTTCATTCCCTTGAGAGATGAAGTTGTGCTGCTGAAGTTAAGATGTCCTTGCCTTATTTCAAAGTTGGATATGTAAAATGGAAAGAAAGAGACTTGGGCCTCTTACTACTTTCAACCCAGCAGGGGTCTTCTGAGGTCAACTGACAAAACAACAGTTAGCAAGCCCAGGTAAAGCAATGTTGGGACTGCTGTTCCCAGAGACCCATGGCATTGCTCTTCATGTCTAAGTTAAGATATAAGTGACAGTGATGCTTCCAGAGGCCTCATTTGGGACTTGAGTTATTTTAATAAGTAAGATAAAAGACCACTTGCAGGTTTCATTGCAGTAAATTTTTAAGTAACAGAATTATCGATACCACTTCAAGTGTGCTCTTTTAACTTTAGCCCTCAATGCTTCACCCAGGAATTGAATGTAGGTACAATTTATATTGCACATTATTGAAAAAACAGAGAATGTTGGTGTATTAACTGACAGCCTCATTAATTAGACTTATCACTGAGAACCCTGTAATTTTCACACCAAACAAGAACCTCTCTAGCTGAACAATAACTGAACCTGAGGTTTTTTTAAGCAAAATCTAATTCCATCACTTGTGTTATCTGAGACTGAATTTAAACTGCAGGTTAATTCCACAGAACATGTCTTTACTAAATACAGCTCCAAAGAAAAAGGACTCACTGAAGCCCACTCTAAAAAATTTCTCTAAGAAGAATGTTTTACTGTGGGAAGTTATTTGTCGAGTTTGTTACTGTAATAGGTTTTAGTCATCTTGGGGAAATCACTACTGGGAAAATTGGATGAAAAGGCTTTAGAAATGATTGCATCTTGAGTGACATTTTCTCAGAATTTTTTTCTTTTATTCTGTCCCACAGCATACTGTTTATGGACATGTGGGTGATACTTAAAGTGGAATAAGAAAATGATAGTGCTTCTGTTACCCACCTTCTGAGAAACAGATCCTTCAGTCCTGGTCCCGGCCAATTGGCCCCACTCCCCACCTTCTTCAAATGTCTCTTCACTCAACCACTGTGCCCTTCACTGGCTACGTTGTGCTCACTTGTCCTTTGCCTACATTGTGCTCTGCCTGTGCTAAGCCCCATAATCTGTGCCCTTTGCCAGCTGTAAAGACAGGAGAAACGAATACCTGGAAGCAGGTCACACAACAATAGGAAACAGTGTATGATGAAAAGCCACAATGAGACATTCAGATTTCCAGGAGCCACAGCGTGTGATCATGATAGCTCACATCTTTTTAGGCTTATCACGTGTTTATAGGATGCTGTGCAGAGCCCTTCCCAAGCATTCATCCATCTAAGCCTCCTGCTGACCCAGCTGGTGTGTCACCCTCCTAGTTGAGAGAACAGCCTTAGGGAAGTAACCAAATAAGTTGCTAACAGAGATTCGAGTTTTAACTCCAGGGCTCAAGCTCTTATTAAGCCACTGCAAAATAAACTTTCTCAGTTCTATTCAGGAAGCACTTTCCATAAGAAACAGACCTCAAGCTCAAAGATGATTCTGAATACTATAGTCAATGCTGTTCTCCTAGTTGCCCTGCCTTTTTTCTTCCATGAAAGGGTCCCTTCACCCTTCAGCCAAGACCAGAAACTTCTATTTTTACTCGAGTCCTGAAATTAGCAACCCCAGCTATGTTAATGTTCAAAGATTTATAAACTTTAGTGATTTTACAATGCGGTGGTGAGCTACTGTATTGGGCTCAGGAAATTAAAGGAACAAAAGGTTTTTCTGTGCTCTTGTTTTCTAGACATTACTCATGGGGGCAGAACCTTTCTGAGCCTCCTAGATTAAATGAGAGGATTTTATGTCTGCAAAATAAATGTAATGATAATGTCTTAAAGTTGCAGACTGCTTCATACTTTTCAAGTGCTTCCGCAAATATTTCCTCAGAATTCTCACAACCAAAACCTGACTGAAGTGTGTATGGTAGGCATAGTTAATCCTCTCCCTACCCCACCCCCAAGCTAAGAGACAGACACTGTTGGGTATAACGGGGTCAGGGACATCAGCCTAGGTCCTTCCATAGCATCTAGCCCAGCAAGAGCCACTACCTTTTGCTCTTCCTCTCATCAGCACCATTTATTCCCCTCATCATTCAACAGGTAGAGGATACTGATTCAGAATGGGCACAAGCTCAGCTCTCAGCATCGGGTGATGAACAAGACAAACTTGCTTCGAAATAAGTCAGTCCAATGAGGGAGAGACATGCAAACAGTGAGGTCAGTGCTGATAATAAATAGAATGTGTGAGATTATATCGGAGAAGCTTGGCGGTGGGTTATTTTGAGACTGTTCCACAAGGATGGTGACGTTTTCCCAGAATCTTGCAGGAGCAATATAGGGAAGAGAAGGAGAACGGGCGATCTTTCTGATGGAAGGAATAGCTTGTTGGAAAGCACAGAGTGAATAGGTCTACAGCATTGGAGGGTCTTGAGGGCAGGATACGAGGATTGGAAAGGGAGAAAACATACAAGTGGAACACTGAATGAGCTATCAGTCACAATGGGTTCCCCTCGTCATTGCTTTGGCTCAAATCTGTGACATTGAGCAAGTCACCTCCTATCAGTAGACCTCAGTTTCTCTGTTCTGGAGGTGACAGTGCTAGCCATGCATCTCTGACATACTGTGATTATGTGCCATGTGATCCAGCGCAGTGTGAGCCGTGGTTTACAAGCCCAGAGGGAAAGGCTTCTGCAAGTGGAGTCAGACCTTGGAGGATTTTGAATGATTTCCACAGGCAGAGATGAGGAAAAGGAGATTGCCCTACTTTGCATAAAAATTTTAAAAATACAAAGAGGATTCAGTCTTCCCCACCAAAATGTTGAGTGACATCTGTCCCAAGTGGTACCAAGCATTCTTCAGCTTTGAATGACACATTCCCTGTTTTTAGGCAGTTCAAAGTCCAGTGTGGCAGAAAAACATCAAACCCACAAAAGGGGCTTTCGGGTTTGGAAGCCTGGGTGAGGCTCTCTGTCTCCTCTACGCTCCCCAAACCGGAACTGTCTGGGTCACAGAGAACATCCTCAGAGGAAATCCTGCTTTCCCACTTCCTGGCCAGGGGCTGAACTCCAGGAAAAGGATGGATTTGGGGAGAGCCCTATGTCCTGCCTCTTCGTAGGAGGTTTGAGACCAGGTGGGCAAGAGGGATTAGTTACAAACACAGTGGAAAAGATGACACCAGGTGTCTGATGTTTCTGAGCTGCAGGGCCCTCATTGTACAAATGAGGACACTGAGGCCCAAAGAAGAAAATGGACTTGCTGGATCCAGTTCCCACAGCTTAGTGAGCACAGAGCAGGGCCCAGCACTCGGGGCTCAAGCCTTCCAAACCATTGTATGCCTTGATAATGGGGTCAGTAAGTTAGGTGTCAAGCAGTCAAACCTAGACCCTCCCTTTCTCCCCTTGTGCTAGAAAGGGAAGGAAAGGTAGTGTACAAGCGTGTGCACCCCAGCCTTCTTCTTTGCTCATGTTCCCTTTGCCTCTAAGCCCTCCGTAGTTTCAGAAGCCCTGTGTGCCCTTCAAACCCTAGAGTACAGGCTGTCCCCACCCATGTCCTCTCCCCATCTGGAATCCTCTTGAGGGGTGATATTTTCCTTCTCTGACTTTCCATAACCTTCTCTCTGGTCCTCCTCCTCTGACAGATTTATTACAAGCTGCTTGCATGTTGGTTATGTGTACCCATGGCTGGGAGCTCCTGGAAAGTGGAACCACGTAAGACTCGTTGTCTAGTGAAAACAAGTCCTGCATGTTCCCAAAATGCATTTGTGCATACATCTCAGTCATCTCTCACGTGGGAGAATCATCCATCTAACCTGCACCAAATTCCTACCCTCCCACTCTCATTTGGACCACACATCTGCACTGTGACCCTCCACACCCTGCTGCCTGCACTCCCCTCCCCCCACCTAGCCAGCAGCACACTACCTCCCTCCCCCCTTCAAAGCCTGCATTTCCTGGGCCACCCCAGGAAGGGGCTGTGGCTCAGCCCTTGTAATCATGGAGCCATTTATCTCTACTACAAGGGCTTACAGGATACACTTGCACATTCTCTATGGCTGGTTTCTAGCCCCAGGAGGACTGGCCAGTTCCTGCTGGGTGGTGTCCCTCCCCTCAGTTTCTCTCTCCTGCTCTGTCTCTGTCTCTTGTCTCTTCAACATACATTTGTGGTGCTCCTTTCTGTCTGTGATATGCTGGCACATAGACAGACCAGATAGTCCCTGTCTTTGTGGGGCTAAGTGGGGCATACAGGCACCCAGATAAGTGTGGTTGGAGTCATGTTGAAGGGATGTTTAAGCGGCACAGGAGAAGGGTCCAGAGGCTGGACTGTCTGCTGGATTGTCTGCTGGACTGCTGGACTGCTCTTCTGGAATTCCAGGGTACCCAAAGTCCATGTCTCCTCAAGGTCTTCACCCTGCCCCTTTCCCTTGCCCTGCTGCCCAGTGCATCAGGGC